ACCGAGAGGCATTACATTTATAGGAAACTAATGAGAGTTTGGTGAAGTGGGCTTTTAAATTTGTGTAAAAAAATGAAATGGGTTCTTGTAAAGTTTATATCTTTGAGAAATTTGTAGATCTAAAGAGAGAGAGATAGTGAAAATCACATATGGTTCTGTTTTCTGAGGGATTATACTAATATTTGTTAGTAAAGGGCAATTTAAAATGCAAATGTTGATCGAAATTAGATGCAGGAATGAGACAAAGTAACTACTTGCAGAGAGAGTGGGGAAGTAGACTGGTTTTTCAAGGAAGTGCGTCTGTGTGCGTTTCAGCGAGGGTCTTGACTGTGCATTTTGAAAGGAGAGAGAGGAGACAAAGGTGAATGAACACGGGCTCCTTTACTGATTTGCATGCGGTATTTTAGGTATAAAGTGTTTGACGGGAAGCCACGTGGGAATGATGAGGCTTCTTTTATATTTATTTATTATTTTCAATTTTTGAGAGATAGAGAGAGAGAAGGGGGTGGGAATGATAGGGTTTTTTTGGGTGGTAGGTATCATTTGAAATTATAATAGCTTGCATTTTAAAAATATTTATTTAAAAATATATTAAAATAATATTTTTTTTATTTTAAAAAAAATTATTTTTAATATTATCAAATCAAAATATTAGAAAAAAAATAATTTTAAATAAAAAAATTAAAATTTTTAAGACTACAAAAACAAATAGTCTACAAGTAACTTCATGTTTTAAAACATTATTATACTAATGCATTTTAAATTATAGGATTCAACTGCCACAAGTTTTGATTTTTTTGTGCTAAATTTTTTTAAAGAATATTTTAACAATTGTTTTTTTAAATGATTTTTATTTAAAAATACATTTACATTTATAAATTATAGAATATTCATGACAATTATTTGAAATATAAATCTTTTTACATTTATAAATTATAGAATATTCATGACAATTATTTGAAATATAAATCTTTTGCTAGAGTCTAAAATACTAGACTTCACAAAAAAATAAAAAATAAAGAGATGGCTCACCTTAAAGTCCATTACCAGAACGAACTGGAAGACTTTGAGAACAATATAGCTTTAATGACTAGTTTACTTGAGCAGTTATTGTACAACACCTTTTTTTGGAACATGTAAAATAATCATTCAAAAGCTAAAATAATATTTTATTTATTTATTTTTAGCCTTTTCATTTAACATTGAAGATGCTCTTAACACATTATACTTATACTTGATGGCGTTGACCTCACTCAATTAATTTGGATTAATTTAAGTTTTGATTTTTTAAAATAAAAAAAAAAGTTTGCAACAATAATGTTTTAAAGAAAATGACTTTTAAATAGGTTAATTGGCTTAGAGGACCATGAATATGAACTATTGATTAAACCCTTGACTTTTTAATTTCCTAACTTTGATCCATTGAACTATCATATGTCAAAGCAATACACCACTGCACCGTCTTCATTGAAGTTCGTTGGACTTCCATGTATTAAACTCTGTTAAATAGCATGCGGCCTTCACGTGTGTTGTTATTACATCTCAATTTTCAACTGTGGTAGCTCAAGGAACACTAATGAAGATGATATATTGCATCGACATAGACATGATAGTAGAAGATGTGAAGGAATATATAGCTATTTTGTTTTGTTGTTTATTCATGATAGAATAGACTTTATATTTTTATTTTTTTTAGTTTCCTTTGTTTAGTGTATATATAGTTTTTTTGTATTCAAGTTAAATGTATTTCTTTTGATTATTTTAATTGCATTATACAATATCAATAAAACTCTAGCTTTTTTTATTTTTTTTATTTATTAGAATTATTTAAAATGATATCAAAACCAGGTTTTATGAAATGAGACTTAATTTTAAATACAACTTTCACAAGTTTTTATATGAAGTGACTAAAAACTTTTAAGAAAATATTCGTTTAGTTTATGCAATATGGTATTTTGCTAAAAAATTTAAGTTCTATGATATTTTTTAAGTATTAAGGTAGCCTACCCACTTAGAAGTTATTTCATTTTCCAGTCAAAATATTTTGTAGATATTTTTAAATGGGTTAAACTTATTGATAATAAGATTGTGGATACTCTCATTGAGGTTAGAGTAAAGTATTATTCTTCTAATGATTTACTTTTGTCAAATCCTACTTTATATCGTACTGTTATTGAGAGTTTGATATATCTCATTATTTCATTCAAATATTGCTCTTGTTGTTTATGTTGTTAGTTGGTTTGTTTTTTCTTTTATTATTATTTATTAGGTTGTTGTTCTTGCTATTTTACAGTATCTTCGGAATACAATCTTCCAGAGTCTTTTATTTTTATCCATCTCTTCCTAGAAGTTGTGTGTATATTATGATGCTAATTATGACAATGATCTTACAAATCATAAGTTTGTTATTGGTTTTTGTATTTTTTTGAGTGATTTTCTTATTTCTTGAAAGAGCAAGAAATAATTTATTGTTTCTCGATCTTCAGCCGAGACAGAATATTATGCTATGACATCTAATACCAAAGAGATTATTTAATTATGTTGGTTACTTGCACATATAAGAGTTTCGCTTTCTCATCTCACTCCTATATATTGTGACAACCAGAGTTCTATTCAGATTGCTCATAACTTAATTTTTCATTAACAAATTAAGCACATTGAGATCGATTGTCATCTTACTCGTCATCATCTCAAGCATCGTATCATTACTTTGCCCTATGTTCCTTGTTCTTTACATGTTATGGATTTTTTTTACCAAATCGTATTCTTTTTCCCACTTTTGTTTTTTACTTGGCAAATTATTGATGCTTATAGTTGCCAGATCATGAGTTTGAGGGGAGATATAAAGAAATATAGAATTATTTTGTTTTATTGTTTATTAAGAGTAGCATAGTCTTTACATTTTCTTTTTAGATTCCTTTGTTTAGCCTTATATATAATCTCTTTATATTTAGATTAAACCTATTCATTTTGATTATTTTAATTGTATTATGCAATATCAATAAAACTCTAACCTTCTCCTTTCTTATTTTCGTGTTTTTTTTTAATTAATTGGAGTGTGTTTAATAGGAAAAAGCAAAGCAAATAAATAAAAAAAGACAGGGATGTAGTTGGATTTGACCAAAACTTCAAGGGTCTCTCAACCAATTAACCTTGTGAGCAAGCATTTCACTCTCCAAGCAATGGATACTGGATAGCACGTTGTTCTTATTAGTAAATATAATTTGTAGCAAATCGGTTGATTCAGCATTAATTTTATTCATGTAAAATATATTTATTATGAATAAAAAGTTTTTTTATTTTTAATATCTAATCATATTTAAATAATAAATCTAATGCTTGATTAATAAATCTAGAGTAAAAATAAAGTCCGTGCAACAAAAATACTTTACATAAGAAATTATAAAATTATTATAATTATAACATTTTTATTGCATCAAAGCATTGTTTATAAATGCTATTAGTTAATATTCCATTAAGATTAAATATTAATTACAGTTATTGAGACTAATGCATATCATATTCATTCTTTTATGAAAAAAAACAGTTTTTCTTATAAACCAAAGTACAAGGAATACTTTGAACTAATATGCAGATAATCAGATGATGTATAAACTGAATTGACCCATATAAGAATTCTATATGAAAAGATCCCCTATTTATATGGAAAGACTCATGTGATAGTTATATAAGTGACCGTTTGACTTGATATCACTAATTTATTTTATACAAAGAGTGTTATGTTTTGATTTTAACCAGATGTTGTTTTAATGAAATGTAACAAACAGACAAATATTGAATATAATATAAAATATATAAAGGTATTTTAGTCATTAGAAAATAATTCATCATCCTAAATGAATTTAAAAAATATTTTATTCGTTCTCACATAGTATTGATTGTGAAATTTCTGATTAATATGAAATAAGATTTGAAAAGAGTTTCAAATATTATTTAAAGATTTAATGACTATAGTGTTAAGAACTAAAATAATTTAACAAAATAAACATATTTCATTCTATAATGTCTAAATTAGAATATTTTTTATGAAAGGATAATAATTACACCAAGAAACTCATTAGATTAAGCAAACTCGGTTATGATTTTTCTAATATTTAAGGAATAATAATACATAACTAAACATTATATCTGATCTTTAAATATAAATCAAATGATTGTTTAATTGATAATAAATTTAATTATTTAATTTATTTAATCATATTTTATTTAAAATTATTATTATATATAAATTAACTTATCATGAAATTTAACGGGTCACTTATATAAAAATCATTGGTTAAAAGTTAAAATGACATGATAAATAAAATGTGACTTACTTGTAAATAAATTTTAAAAAATGAGAGCTGAAATATAATTAATACAAGAAATTACAATTCTAGACTTAAAAACAATCAAGTTAGGACTTGATTGAATAATTTATAAAATAATATATGTAATGTTATTTAAAAAATAAATTGATATTTTGACATTAACAGAAAATCATGCCTCTTATTTTCTTTATTTTCTTAGATGACAATACAAAAATACAATTCAAAATATAAAATAATATATGTAATATTATTTAAAAAATAAATTGATATTTTGACATATATGTAATGTTATTTAAAAAATAAATTGATATTTTGACATTAACAGAAAATCATACCTCTTATTTTCTTTATTTTCTTTACATTAGATTAGATGACAATACAAAAATACAATTCAAAAATACCTAAACACACAAAAGAATTAACATTCAAAAGTATAGCAAGGGGCTATTAAAAGAGTTTAAGAGATTTTTTTAATATAGTCCATGTAAATTATCCTTACATTATCGTCGAAGGCCAGACAATTAAATGGTCCGTGACTTATGACAATTCAGCTTTAAAACATTGGCCCAATTAAATGGTCTGTGACTTATGACAATTCAGCTTTAAAACAATTATTCAAAACAAAAAAAAATATAATATTCAGATAATCTTAAACCTTAAATTACTATATATCTGTTCAACAGGATATTTGGGATTTTTTAAAAAAATATATACCGTTTCCATTACTGAATAACCCAACAGTTCCCTCATCTGGGAAGTTATAACCGTAGTCATTGATGCAGCAAAAGCAGGACACTGTTAAACCACTACTGACCCAGCTAATCCAGCACATAATTTACCTTTGCATAAGCATGCCTTGTCCAACAGCTCAACAAATTATTTACATGCCAATTTACCCAGGCATGCGAGAAAAACAGCATCATTTCCTACTGTACGTCACAAGAAAAATTGAAAGGAGCAAGAGTTTTGACATCTTCGATTTCTACCACTGTCACCTTGCGGAATGGAGACAATCCTTGAAGGAAATCTGATGTAATTACTTAGAATAAAAGGCAGTGCTCAGATTTGAAGGAAACTGGGTAGCAATGATTTCTGTCACAAACCTGGAGTCCACATAACCAACTAGACACAGATAACACCTGCATTTAATGATTCAGTAAGCCAATGATAAAAGATTCTGACAAACAACAACATCAGGAACTAAATTTACAAGATAAAAACCAAAACCCATTTAAGGAACCTCTAACAGGGCAGGAGACTTACACCAGTACCGTTGTATAAAATGAGTTACAGATTTCTTCGCCCAAGCTGCCAAGCAAACTGATCAACAGCCACCATAGAACGGGATGCTGCACCAATGGATCCATCATACCTGCCAGTGCCACGTTCACAGAATGAAAGGACAAGATGAAATTCAACTTCTTCACATTAGCAGCCCAACTCTGTTCAAATATGAAAGTCAAAACTAAAAATATCGAAACAAACAGAACGGGGATTACAATGCAACCAAGAGGAATGCTGAAGTCTGCATGATGATGGCACCTTCACCAGCAGGTTTTGATGAAGTCATAGACCTTGCACAGAAACAATTCTCATGAATGGATGTAACCACATCTGTCCACCCAATTCAGGATCTGTAAGATAAATATTATAAAGAGAACAAGAAAAAATGTACAATGATATGGTGCAAGACAAAATTAGTGGGATGTGTGATGTTATAAGGAATGCAAGTCATGGGGCATTTTCCAAGCAATTGCAGTCAGGTCCGCAAAAATGCTAGCATCAAGGAAAGTTGCAATGACTTGCACGAACAGCATGCTTTGACTTTAGAAGATCACAATTCTGACTGAAGATTGTTCTCATCATTCTAGTCAAAAGAAAACCTTAATTTTATTGAAACAAAAATAACAAAAAAATTTCACTCAGGTTTGTCTTGGAAACTAATGAATGTTCTCATTTGTAACTGCTAGAATGTCTATGAAATTATAGTATTACACATGACAGGGTTGTAAGTGTACCTATCTACTTCTTTGCCAAATACAAGAAACAAGAGTGATTGGTATGTTCTTTTCTATCCTGCTTGTGTAATGAGAAACAAAGGTACTGGGAAGGCAGAATACACGTCTATTGATCCCAAGCACAACAAAAGCAAGCAGAAATCCTATTTGATTCAGTCGATAATGCCCAAACTCTGAAGGGCAGAAAAGAAATGTTCTGAAAACACATTTTAAGGTTCGATCAGTCATCCATGAGGTACATTTGCGAGGAGGGGCACATTTGACAAGTCAAAAACACAAAACCAAATATCCTCAATAATTCTTCTAAGCTGCGTAAATTGAGCTACAGGCTGCAGTATAAAAGCACATGATCTTAACTGAGACAGATTTCTTTTCCAAATCAAGAAAAACAAACTTGGTTTCTAAAAAAAAAACTCTGCATTCACTAATATCAACACTTCACTATACTTGTAACCAATAAAAGTCCTTCAGTAAGCAACCACAGCGAAACTTACATTGATTTTGCCCGATTGTAAAGTTCTCCAAATGAAGTTTATTCCTTTTAACAAAATCAACAAACTGGCTCACTTCAGTGGGAACAGCGTTGATACCTTCTTGTTCTGCACTAAAACCACCACGCCATAATCAAGACTTTAACAAACATAACAAAACTAAATCATATGTGGGTTTCAAATTATAATTTCTTTTCTCTTACATGATAGAAAGCAAGCGAGACGGTGCATTTGGATCATAGTTAATAAGCAAAGCAGCCTTCAATGGTTCACCTGTAGAAGAGCCAACGTTAATGGAAGCCCATTTCTCCCAAGCTTTGTGTACAAAACCCCAGTCCATTTGTTTCACCAAGCCCTGATCAGACACCGGAAAAAATTAATAACTATTTGGTAGGAAAAAGAGCAGACATCGGAATAAATTGAAAAAACCCTAATTTTAACTTGTTGATTTTGGACGGAAAGGGCCAGAAGTTAACGGCTGTTTGGTATCGCCGAGCAAGCAGGTTTTATTTTTTATTTTGGGGTTGGGCGGAATGATAATTAAGTTTTCAACCATTTTTTTGTTTTAAAATTAAAAAAAAATCACCCTAAAAACATAAATGAACTGTTAATACCTTCAAATAATCCAAAAGCTTCAAAAATAAAAAATCAACCTGCAAGTTAAAAATTTACATATGTTAGATCTACTCTTTCAAATAATTTGAGGGTGAAAGAATATCCAAGTTGGACTTTCATAGTAAAATAAAATTTATTAATATCAAAAATTATTTTGGTATTTAGAATTGGTGTAAATTGATTTATGTTTTACCAAAATTTGATAACTTTTTTTCTTCCATCCCAAACCATAGACTTGCAAATAAGAGAGATGAAGTTATAGGTAAATAAAAAATAAATATTGAAAAAACTAAAGGGACTAAAAATAGGTGAATTGCAAAGTAAAAGGATCAAATTCATTTTTTTAGTCAAGTTTGAAACAACTATTTAGTTTTTTTGTGTTTTTTACTTTGATCACCTGTCTTTTAATTTTATTCGTAATTAATAAATTAAAAAGTAATTGATCTTCAATTTGGCTAATTAAATCACTATAAAAAATATGATCAAAATAAATAAATAAAACTCATTGCTCCGGTTCATAATGAAATGTGAGGGGATCAAATCACTATAAAAAGTTTGAAAGATAAAATTAAAATAAATTTATTTAAAAAAAAAACAAAAAACATGAACTCATGCTAACCTTTAAAACTAGTGATCATAATCATGAACCCGACACCAAACTTGTACGAGTCAAACTAAATCTATTTAAAAAAAAAAACAAAAAACATGAACCCATGCTAACCTTTAAAACCAGTGATCATAATCATGAACCTGACACCAAACTTGTACGAGTCAAACTAAAAAAAATAACAAAACTAAACTAAAAACAATAGATAAAAAATAAGAAAAATCAGTTTATAAAGGGAAAAAAACTAGGTAGATTAAGACGAACCTTCTAAACCTGATATAAATTTTAAAACTCGCAATCACTAGGATTATAGACCCGAGTTTAATTAAGAAATTTAATTCTTAAATAATTTAATTTTAAATATTAAAATCATAGGAAAAATATTGATAAAAAAAACTTGCAAAAAAAAAAAGACAGCAACAAAAAATACAAGGATAAAACTCAATAGAAAAAATCCAAGTATGATAAAATTGTAAAAGAAATAATAAAAAAATAAAAAAATAGCAATCAAAAGAATGATAATCAAAATTAAAAAATAATATGAGTAAAAATAAAAAAATATTTGTAATTTTATAGATAATTTAAAATTAAATAATAACAATCAAGAGAACAATAACTAGCTGTGAAGAAAAAATAAATTTTAGGGACTGGTTTGAATTTTTAAAGGGACTAATATAAAATTTAATTTGAAAAGAAAAAAAGAAAAAAAATAGTAGTTGATGCCGAGCTCAATAAGCAATCGAGGCTCATGCCACCCTATCTCGCGAGGGAGTCAAAATCTTTTAAATGTTATCATAAAAAGTAACATTTGATAGCCTGACATTCTTGCATGCACTATTTAAATGTTGTGAGGACCTTTTACATATAGCACATGCCTACAAGTTTTTTTTAATAATACTTAATAGATATAAAGTAGAACAATACCTTTAAGCAATCACGAAATTTACAATAAAAAATTAATATTGGATAATCTAAAAGTTCCTGTAAAAGAGTTATGCTAGTTTTGTTTTTAAAAATATTAAAGTATTTGTACTATTTTAAAAAAAATAGAAAGACAAAAACACCTTAGTAGGCATTAAATAATTTAACGCATGGTTAAATTAATAATTTTATTGTTAAAAATATAAAATAACTAATTTAATCTCACATAATTTATAAAAAATAATTGTATTACAGTGGAAATACCATCTTATACCCAGTATCCGGTCATAATGTTTCATGACTTGGAAGCAATTCATCGTTGCATCGCTACAATAATAGTATTTCGAGTCTTCGTATAATGTAACTTTCCTAGGAGAACATGTTTTTTCCTAGTACTTGGTTCAAATGTTTCAAAACAAAATCAAGAAAAGCAACAAACATTAATAACTAGTCAGTCGATGCATCTTTCGAGATCGAAGGCCCGTAAAATTACAGCATTGATTTGAGCATTTATCTCCATCTGCGAAACAAACGCAAAATCCAGAATCCCGTTTCTATCATCGGTTCATAAGGATTCAAATCCAACGAAAAACCCTTGCCTTTTCGTTTAAATTTAAAGCTTTAGAGGTTCGGATTCCAGCGATTTCTGGAAAATCTACTTTAGTTCTTGACCAGTCCCTTCAAACCTTTAAGAAAATCTGCCTTTCTCTGCTCCTCTGGGCTCTGTGTTCCTCAGCAGGCAATGACGTTTTCCCAAAAAATATGAAATCACCGTAAGCTCTCTGTTACGTTAGGCTTTGATTTTATTTACTATAGATACATATCTAGTTAATGTCATAAATTTAAATTTTAATATAAACCTAATATAATTTTTTCGTGATAGTTTTTAATTTAAATAAAATAAAATAAATGCTCTACTACCAGATTATCACAAGTATAAAATATTAATATGACTATTATAAGTTATAGTTTTAGATAATATAGAAAAATAGTTATAATATTGATGTATTTTTTCAAAAAGGAATAAGTTTCTTTTCTTTTGACTATAAAAGAAATGGCTTCATCGTTTCAGTGCTGCATTACCCCTTTTAACATCTCACGGTGTTATTTTTCTAGACAAACGTCTCTTGGGATATTCATATAAAGCTTAATGTCTCTCTTAGCCATTACCTCTCCTTCCCTCCTGTGATATTATATCCAAAGAGGACAATTTTGACTCTCTTGAACGTTTGTGTTTGTAACTGTAACGTGGTTCAGTATGTTTTCCAAACTGTTTTTTTTTTTTAAAAAAAAATCTTCATTTTTTTATGATTTTAATATACTGATATTAAAATATATATATATATATATATTTTAATGCAGCTTAATAATTTTGTCTCATGTAAGCTGAGAAATTCTAAAGTACACAATAACTGATAGTTTTCCTCCCATGCATGGTTAATTGAACTACAGAAACTTGAATCCACTCCACCGAGAGTCAGTTTCAACCCTTTTTTTTTTTAATTTAAAATAATTTTTTATATTTTTTTAATGCTAATATAAAAAATAAATTTTAAAAAATAAAAATAATATTTTAATACTTCTCCCAATTTTATTTTATTTTTTTGAAAAACCACCGCTCCTATTCTTAAACAACCGAGGAGTCATTTTTATTCCTTAAGCTAGAAATAAGAGACATTAGAAAACAATAGCTATGAATCTCACAACAATGATCAAAAGTATATTAATAACAAGAAACGTGAATGGTTAGTGTTATCGTTTAATTTCCCCCCGTGAAAAGAAAACAATGAGCAAAAAATAAAGTTAAAAAAATAAGTGAAAAGAAGATACAAAGAAAGAAAATCAAAGAAAAAAGGAAAAAAGTGAGAGAGAAAAAAAATCAAAGAAAGGAAAGGAAAAGAGGTAAGGGCCTGAACGTGCACGTTGGGGCGCGCACTTGACCTAGACGCGCCACGCTCAAGGCCTGGTAGTCCAGGCTTGTCCACCGGAAAACAACATAGAAAGAGAGAAAACGAGATAGGAGATAACGTCACCAGCACCGCCACTTCTGTCCTTCATCGATGACACACGTCGGTCGCTCTTGATCATCCGATCGAGACGATCCAGACATCGCCGGACTTGGCTTTTTTTGCACCAGGAATAGTTCCACGAGCCACGAGAAGATCCTTCGTTCTTTAGTGCTTGTGCCTCGCAGCAATCCCCTTCATGCCTCCTTTTACGTTCGCTAAGTCCTTGGTTCTGATCAACATGTCCGATTTAGTTTCTAATATACCAAACAAGATAATTAAGTTATTTCTAATTTGATAACCATCCATGTTTTTGTTTGTTTCTTAGGTTTTATTTAAAATTTATTATGTTGTAATTTTTAAAGTGATTTTCTTTATACCAGACAATTTATCAATATTAATTTCCTGTATATCATGGAGGGTGGAACAAGCTTGTCCAGAACCACGAATAAAAATTATTATTTCTTAAAATTTTCATTTCAACTATTATTTATATATTTATCAATCATTTATTTTTAATTTGGCAGAGTCAATTTTTCCCAATTTTTTGTAAAATGAATATTTACATGTAGGGTTTTAATTGCAAACAACTTTTTTATTAAGGGTTTAAATTATACAAATCATAAAATTAGAATATTTCCACTAAGGACTAAAATGTCATAAAAATAAAATATGAGAACTAAAAAAAACTGATAAAATTTCAAATACTGTCTAGTGTGTTCCGGACACAAGACACGTAAATGTATTTTGTGGTGTATTCCAATATAGTCCAATCCAATCTCATCTATTATCATGTTCAATCATGCCCTGCCCAGTACATTTTCAATTATATTGTTCAATCTAATAATATGATATTTATGATCATGGTTGTTTTTAATTTGTAATTTTATTTTTTAAAATTTATTTTTGATATTATTATATCAAAATAATCTAAAAATATAAAATATTAATGTTTAGCAAAAAAATATCTATTTTTTAAATTTTTTTATAAAAACACTCTTGAAATGCTAAAAGTAATAGGCTATTATAAAAAAAAAAGAAGGTAATTGACAATAATTTGATAACAACATTCTTATTTTTGTGAAAAAACTCACGAGGAACCTTTTTGATCGACGACGAGGCTATCATTGACTGGTTGTTTTTACTGCTCAATATTTGTGCACTTTTTTTTATTTATTTTTTTACCACTAGCAATTTTCTCTTCGCGGACTTGTACAACAAAAAAACATGACAAGGCATTGAGCTCGATTTTTATGTTTGGATGCATCCAGTGTGACAGATGGACAAGGCCCGTATCTTGACTACTGTGGTCTTTTTATAATTGAAATTTAGACTCATATTTTGTTTTTATGATTTAATAGACTGGTTTAGGTTTAAGATCCCAATTCAAGCTTTACTTTTGGACACGAACTTTTAATTGGTAAACAAATTTCAAGCCCTGACATTTCTGTCTTTTGAAATTGGGTTTCAATGGTGCCATGTCGATTCAGGCGAGAGATCGAGACCTTCTCATTTTTTTATTTTTTTTGATTTATATGGGGTGTTCGGACCAGCTTACACGCACCACGGCTAATCCACACGGCCCATTGAACATCCTGCAAGCCCAGTGAGCAGGTAAGACACCGCGAGGGTGACAGACGTGCAAGGTAAAATTCGAATCCAGGTGTGGAGAAAGGAGACAAGCCCCTTCTACCGCTAGGTCAGAACCTTACTTGCAAGACCTTCTCATTTCTTAATAAATCACTTCATTTAGGATTCTTGTGAAAAAAAACTCAGAGTCAACGCGTAAATCAGGATGGAAAACAGACATTAACATGGACGAGGGCACGCAGGATGGCCTTGATTCTCCCCGGTTGTGCAAGCAAACCTTTAGCCGGAACTCTTATGGTTAGTGTTATGTTTTTCTTGGTTTTTATCTTTTAAAAACAATGAATAACAACTTTATCTTTTTGAATTATTTATTTTATAAATTTAAAAAAAAGCTAAAGGTGACAACGAAATTATTGCACTGAGATATTTCACTATTTATTGAAACAGTAACATGATATGATTGCTCCTGGTGAAAAAAAAAAAACTTCGAATTATGTACTGGGGACGAGATATTATCCTCTCACCATGACACCAAAAAACTTTTACAATTTGTATAGAGTTAGATTAATTATTTAATTTTTATATTGTATAGTCAAGTCATTAATTTAACTATGTAATAGATAACATAATGCCTGAAACACAAGGGCATTTTGGTTTTGTTAATTTTTTTAATAGTACAGTTACTTTTATACTTTTAATAACAAAACCAACATAATTATCTCGTAAATATCTTTTCTTGTTATTCTATATTGGTTTTGTGTTGTAAACTTGAAAGTCATTCTAGCCACTAATTGCAATTTATTTCTCCTTTATCTTTTTCATTTGATTATTTTTTTAATCTTTAAATTATCTATAAAATTATAAATATCTCTCAATTTCATTCCCATATCACATTTTAATATATAAATAATTTATTAAATTATAAATATTATTTTTTAATTTCACCTCAATGATTTTTTAATTTTTTAAACCTGGTCTTCATTCTTGTTGTTTAATATCTTTTTTGCTTTTATAAAAAACAAATTATCAATGTTTTTCTTATTTTATTATTTAAATTAAATTGATTAAAAACTTGATTGAACTTATTCATAACATTTAATAACTCATGAGTTTAAAAAATTAAATTAGATTTATAAGGTTTATTTGAGTTTTTTTTTAAACTAATGTTTTTTTGTTTTTTTAATTTTATTTTAATATTTTTTATGATTTTATTTATGGAGCTAGCCCCCAGTTTCATGATCAAGATCATTAATTTTAAAAGCTAGTATGGATTTATTTTTTAAAATTAATTTATTTAAATTTTATCTTCAAGTTTTGTGAGTTCACTTGATTTAATATGTATTTTTTTGTTTTTCTTTTGAATTATTAATTTTTTTTATTAATTAATTTTTTATTATTTCTTTTTTTTTTAAATATTTAAATCATCAATTAAAAAACTTGAATCTCAATTTTTTATGCCCAAGCATTTCGTATGATTGCTCCTGGTGAAAAAAAAAAAAAAACTTCGAATTATGTACTGGGGACGAGATATTATCCTCTCACCATGACACCAAAAAACTTTTACAATTTGTATAGAGTTAGATTAATTATTTAATTTTTATATTGTATAGTCAAATCATTAATTTAACCATGTAATAGATAACATAATGTCTGGAACACAAGGGCATTTTGGTTTTATTAATTTTTTTAATAGTACAGTTACTTTTATACTTTTAATAACAAAACCAACATAATTATCTCGTAAATATCTTTTCTTGTTATTCTATATTGGTTTTGTGTTGTAAACTTGAAAGTCATTCTAGCCACTAATTGCAATTTATTTTTTCTTTATCTTTTTCATTTAATTATTTTTTTAATCTTTAAATTATCTATAAAATTATAAATATCTCTCAATTTCACTCTCATATCACATTTTAATATATAAATAATTTATTAAATTATAAATATTATTTTTAATTTCACCTCAATAATTTTTTAATTTTTTAAACCCAGTCCTCATTCTTGTTGTTTAATATCTTTTTTGCTTTTGTAAAAAACAAATTATCAATGATTTTTTTATTATTTTATCTTTCAAATTAAATTGGTTAAAAACTTAATTGAATTCATTTATAATATTTAATAACTTACAAGTTTTAGAAATTAAATTAGATTTATAAGATTTATTTGAGTTTATCTTTTTTTTTAAACTAATATTTTTAATTTTTTTAATTTTTATGGTTTTTTTAATGGAGCTAGCCCCAGTATTATAATCAGGATCATCAATTTTAAAAACTAACATGAATTTATTTTTTAAAATTAATTTATTTAAATTTTATCACTCAAACTTGTTTTCCTACTTTTATTATATGAGATTATTCTGATCTTCAAGGTTTGCGAGTTTACTTGATTTAATATTTTTTTTTGTTTTTCTCTTAAATTATTAATTTTTTGTTTTTTATTAATTAATTAATTTATTTTTTTATATATTTAAATCATCAATTAAAAAACACGAATCTCAATTTTTTATGCCCAAGCATTTTTACCCCGGCAACAATCTAGCGACTGTCTACCGGGTGCGACAATTAGGAACAGAAAATTGATAGCCATCTCGCCAATCGGAATTATTTTTTTTTGGCACTTTCTCGTCAAATCTAGCGTACCCTTTTCCGTTATAACATTCACTTCCAAACACAGTTTTCTATTTGAATTGTTGTTTTGAAACTTCTAGAACTCAATTAGAAACCCAACATAAATTGAAGTTTCTCATCTATCAAAACCAGAGCCATGAACAAGAACATAATTCATCCCCAGTCCGTTAGTCATGGCCAACGGAGTTACTGGGCCTTACATGCATCCACAGACCAGGTGCTGCAGTGCTGGTGCAAAACCAATTTATTGAATTTCTGAACAATTGGAGACGAAATAAATGCACCATACAGTTATTGTTTTTCTTTACTTCTTCAAACCCTTGATTTAAAAGTTTATTGATTTTTTTATTCAAGTCTTAGAATTAGTGGCTTGAAGAATTTATTAAATAGATAAGAGGGATATACCCTTAAAATCGTCAAAAATAAATCTCAATTTACTTATAAATTGAAGAATACCTTCTTAAATAATAAAAAAAAATATTGCGTGTCATCCCTCTTTAGTAGATTTTGGCGCTACTCGTGTTTAATTTACCTATAAATTGAAGAATACCTTCTTAATAAAAAAAATAAAAATATTGCGTGTCATCCCTCTTTAGTCTTTAGTAGATTTTGGCGCTACTCGTGTCGTGCGGGTACAGAGAAGAATATTATACACCCGAGCTGGAACTGAAAGGTCACCCGCCATATCCAATGAGGCTATCCCGAACCTGTCCCACAAGCAAGCATACGCCACGTGGTCAGAAGCTACAGAAGTTATGGCTTGGCTAAACGTTATTGGCTCCGGGAACCAATGGCTCCTCAAAGGCCATACATAAATAAATCTAAGAGCCCGTTTCTTTAGCTCTCAACCCTCTCAACCATAAACAACATTTCCAGAGGCAACAAGACTCGGGAGGGGTAAAACGGTAAAACGGGAGACGTTACTGTAGAGGAGGGAGGGAGAGGGGGGACCAGAATCCAGGTCACGTGAGGCGCATCCCGTCTGGTAATAATCATTACTAATTTTCTCTCTCTTTATATCAGAAATGCACCACCATTGTTAGTTTCACTACAGAAAAAACTCCCTCCCCCTTCTCTCTGCGTTTTCTCTCAAGCTGTTTTTTCTTTCTCTCAAACAATCCATCACAAGTAGCTTTTGAAACAGAAATTGAAAAAGAAAAAGGTCTCATTTTATACTTGTTTTTTCTGTTTAATTTTCTACTTGATTTTTTCATGTGCATTAATTAATGCTGGTGTAGTTACTCTTTGGCTGGTTGAATCGGTGCTGGTACTGGATAAAAAATCTCAAAAGGAACGACCCATTTGCATTTCATTAAGGATGAGTTTGAATGAGGAATTCAAACAAGTCCTGACAGAGTATGTATTTTCCCGTGGTTAACAGATATAGGTTGTTGGCTTCTGGAAGATTCTCAAAATTGAGATTTCTAGCTCAAAAGTGTTTTTGATACACTTTCCAATCTTCATGATCTTTAATTTACCAGTGGTGTTTTTCCTAGTTAGTTTACTTTAAAGTTCGCACAATGATCAGTAGTACTGAGCTTTGATTTTGCGTTCCCGTTCGTTTCTTCTTGTTTTCGGTCTCTGAGTACCAACAATATAGAGATTCTCCTGCAGGCTGTTCTAGAATCACTACATATATATCCGTCAGGCCTTAATCTTGCTTTCTTTTCTGACAGTCCGTGAGTTTATGATTGATTAATGAGATTAATTGTATGTTTGCTTCAAATGATTATCTTATATATAGTCTGATTTTCCCTTTCTTTAATCATGTCCATAATGTTTATTCGCCGGGGGGCCGTGGAGGACGAGAGATACGACTAGCTAGTATTAACTTGTGCAGTTGAAACGTTTCTCTATGTGCAGAAGATGACTACCATGGAGCTGGTTGATGTTGCAGTGATAGACCACCCATCGGTGAGTATGTTCTCTCTTCTCCTCACTCCCACTCTCCAACCACCACACCCCTTTCTTTCTGTTACTCCTCGATTTTTCTCCTCGTAACCCACGCGCTCTTTTATCTCTCAAATCAACTCGCTGATTACAAGTCTACTAAAGTTTTCAAATACTCAACCGAATTCCTGGTCTTTGTCTCACGCTCACACACATACCAAACCACGCGCGCGTCTCCTGCAATTTGTTATGCAAATCAAACCCCGCTCTACACATCCTTGGTGCCCAAGTAAGTGAAATGATGATATTACATAACAAAAACCACATAATTATAATGCTATGTAACGGTATATTCTAAACATTCTCTATCGCGAATTGCACACGAGGGGCTTATGCATACATAAATTCTCACCCCTTTTAAAAGAGAAGGTTAATACTGTGATTTTGCCTGCGCTTGTGAAAATGCAGGAAATAAAAAGGAGGCAGAACTCCGAGGACGCCGATAGAAGGCTTTCTTTGGGCGGACAGTGCCTGCATCACCCAACATTTACCACAGCACCACCATTTGGTAATATTTGTAACACACTTACACACACTCGCCCGATCAACAATCTCTCCCTCTTTTTATCGCTTTTGTTCCTCTCTCTCTCTCTCTCACTTGATTTCTCTCTTCTGATTTGCTGTTTTTTTTTTACTGCTCGTACTAGCTAGCTAGCTCTCACGGTACTGCAAGTACGTAGTGGTACTGCAGCTGCTGCTAGTACTAGTAGTAGCTATGTCGTTTTCCACGCTAAGAGCTCTTCTTTCTGATCAAAATAGGGAATTCTCTGATTACTCTTTGTTTTCCATGCTTAATAATGAAGACCCAGCTGAGCATATTAAAGTGAGCTCTTTTTATGAAGTTGATCACTCCAAGCTGCCTCATAAATCCCCTGATCAACTCAACAAAACCCGGGTTGTCATGGTATTTTTTATACAACTCAACAATATTCTTAAACCCGGCTCGACATTTGTTTCTCTCTGCTTTAAAATATACTGGTGTTTGTTTCTGCTTGAATAAATATCTCAGGTGAATGAAAAGACCAGGATGAGAGTCTCGCTGAGGTTTCCAAGCATCGATTCTCTAAGATGTTACTTCAATGAGATTGGAGCTATTAATTACAAGAAAGACATGAAAACGAAGAAGAAGCAGCTACCAGCATTCGATGAGAAATATACTATAGGATCAGAAGTTGCAGCGGAAGCTCTTTATAGGAGAATCTCTTCTCCAGAAATTGCAGACAAGAGTTACTCATGGAGTTTCTGGATGGTTAAACATCCTTCGGTTTCACCTCGAAAAGTGTCATACCCACCTACAAGTACTCATGTTAATAAATTTGTTGGTGCAAGGAAGGTGTCTCTCATGTCTGAGCTCAACGGGACAGGCATGGTTAAGTGGGGTCAGCGCCGGCAGGTCAGGTTCTTGGCTAAACACGTAGAGGATAAACGTGAAATAGTGACTGCATCGAAGGATTTGATTAAAAGCGAAGAAGAGAAAGACAGTGATGGTAGTGATGATGATACAGACGAGAAGGACGAGGAGGAGGTCGATGTTAAGCTAGTAGTAAACAAGTCAAGTGAAGCTAAAAGGAAATTACGTAAGAGGAAGTGTCAAGGTGGGTCTGGTATTAGCAAATCATCACCGAAAAAGAAAAGGCGTAAAATTGAAAAGAAGAACCAGATTGTGGTTTATAGGCAAAAGAAGAACAAACTCATCAAGAATTCTATTGACAGATGGTCTGCGGGGAGGTAATAAAGCTTTTATTAGTTAATAAACTAAATTCAGATCGTCATTTGTGTTAATATATTTTTTTGATTAGTGTCTATATGTAGCTAGCTAATTTGGTTGGTTGATTTCTGTGAAGATATAAATTGGCTGAGGAAAACATGTTAAAGGTAATGAAAGAGCAAAATGCTGTGTTTCGACGCCCAATTTTAAGGCCAGAATTGAGAGCTGAGGCACGGAAGTTGATTGGGGATACTGGGCTGTTAGACCACTTGTTGAAGCATATGTCAGGGAAGGTGGCTCCGGGAGGAGAAGAGAGATTCAGAAGGAGGCATAACGCAGATGGAGCAATGGAATATTGGCTGGAGAAGGCTGATCTGGTTGATATCAGGAAAGAGGCTGGCGTGCAGGATCCTTATTGGACACCTCCACCAGGGTGGAAACCTGGTGATAATCCTAGTCAGGATCCTGTTTGTGCTAGAGAGATCAAGGAGCTCAGAGAAGAAATTGCTAAAATTAAAGGGTACTGGTCCTTCTGTTTTAACTAGGATTGATTGTCTTTCAATTTTGTGGTCTTTTAGCTTGTGATCAGTGCTGTTGATCTGGTAATGCCCAACAGTTTTTCTCCGTTACTCTTGGGGTGAATTGTGTGCGCTACTGATTGCATCTCTCGCGTATGTGTTGTTCTTATGGAGGGCAGGGAGATGGAGGCAATGGTGTCTAAAAAACGCGGGGAGGGATTAGCAATAGTGGCAGCACCGAGTTATTCTCATACAAGTCAGGACATGGCGCACGACAACTTATTAATTCCACTGAAGGTAATAGATATGTAAGTTTGACCAGTTTTTTGGACTGACCCAAGTTCTTCTCTTGACAATCCATGTACTATTTTTGCAGGAAATGTACATTGATTTGGTGAATAAGAAGGTAAAGATGGAGGAACAACTAAAGGAAATTTCAGAATCTTTGTATGGGATGAAGGTAGGAGAGTATGAGAATTCTTCCTAATAATCATCATTTTCTTTTCAATTGGAGTGTGTAAGATTTGATGTGAATGATTCTTTCCACGTTATGACGTTCTGGGTGCTACTGGTGTGTAGAAGATTTGTTCAAATAAGAAATTCCTGGGTGATTGCATGATCCACACCATTGAAAGATGGTAGTAACACGCTGACCATCTGATGTATGTATCTATTCTAGATAATAAGTTGATGCATAAATTGCCATGAAACCATTTGAGAAGCTGTTATCTTTAGAGGCTTAATATGGGAGGGTTGCTTATTCCATACTAGATGTTTGCAATTAGTTAGTTCAATTTAAAGCTCAAAATCCCACGTTAAATAGTTTCATAAATGATGAATGTTCTGGCAGTGGATTTCCGTTGTCCTTGGCGGTACTTTCTAGTCTGGACAGCATTTATATTGTAACAATGATACGTTTAATGATGATCTTAGGATGGATTGGTTAGTTATGAATTTAGTTGTCCTTAGAGTGCAACGGGGAGGCTTGGCTGCATTTATTGTCGTAGCATTTAATTATGCATTGAACACGGTCATTATTGTGATGATGGAAATATTTAATTAATGCAGGAAGAAATGGAGAAGCTAAAAACCAGAGTGGAGAAATCAAACAGAGCAGAGTCAACAGAAAAGCCAGCTTTATTAATGGGTTCAACAGAGTCAATCACGCCCGCAGGAACTGGAAGAAAGGGGAAAGGAGTAATGCATCAGGAAAAAGAAGCAACGGTTTTAGGGGAATCAGCACAAGAACAATGCAAGCCATCATCAGGAGGCATCATAGTACCAAGAACAGAATCACCAGCACCAACAGAGGACAGGGCAGCAAGGATAGAGAGGCTGAAAAGTGGGTTTAGAATATGCAAGCCCCAGGGAAGTTTCCTGTGGCCGGATATGACTACCTTAACTCCTCACCCTCAGGTTGTGGTCCTTCTAGAAGACCTCATTGCGGTACACACACCTCCCTCAGTGTCCTCCACTACACCAAAACAATCTCACTTCCTCTTTGCTCCTCCCTCTCAAACCCATACACCCCACCGTACTTTCCCTGTGAAGCCATTAGCTGAGAGAAGGCCTGTCACCATTCCCCAATCCACAGCTGCCACGACTCCAACTACCTGTCCTCCCCTTGATCAAATGACTCACTCCCAGTATGAGAATAGCAGCATTTCCACTTCTACTACCATCACCACCACTACCAAAACCCCTCTCATCAACCTTAATGAGCCACTGAATATCAATCAAACTGATGATTATGGATTGTTTTGTGGATCCCAGACTCATGCTGAAGCCTCTCCTCACCCTGTCACTTACCAAAGAAGACATCATCAAAATGTGACCACCAGTATTGCCATGCCAAGTGTATGTGTACTAATCAAATCTCTATTTCAATTCATCCCCATATTTTAGTGACACTATCATAGTATACATGTTGACTCCTTTCTCATTTTCTGTATGTTTTGCACAGTTGGGACCCACAAAGAAAGGGATGATGAGCCAATGGGAGGAAGGTGATCGGAGAAAAGGAATGATAAGGTTCTGTGAGCAGTGTGAGCAGCAACAGGGTTGCTCCTCTGCCTCTTCCATTGCATCTTCTTCCTTGCCAATGGGAAAGGCGACTTGGTTGGCTCTGGCTACTTCTAAGGCTTCCGTGGAGCACAAATCTAAAAGGGGTTAAACAATCTATGATAATAATAATAATAATAGTAATAATGGCTAGTTTATTATGCTAGAGTAGTTATTAGTTAAACACCTGAGAAAACATTGATTAGGTTGGGTTTCACCCAATGCTTTCCTTGTCTTTGGGCAAGGAATCTTCTTAACATAGTTACATACGTATTGCATATACAAGGCACAAAGAGCTTTTAGCGCATAGGAAAAGGAGGAACGTCTGGAATACGATTTACGCGTAAGATATTATTTTGGTTACTCTGACGTTCTCTTTATCTACCAGGAAATAATATAGGAATTATTATGTTCCACTGCCTTTGTTGTTCATGTTGGTGGGCCAATTTAGCTTTTGATTGATCGCATTACAAATTGACTAATAAGTTCACAGAATGCTGTTATAGTTTTGAGAAAAAAAATCCACAGCTACGCATTAGCAAACAGGCTTCTTTAAGCAAAATAATGTCAAGAACAGATGCAAAATTTCAGAATGAATGCAGTTATGTTCGGACCTCTTATGGCGATATGATCCGGTCTACATAACTATCTCTCTCTCTCTCTCTCTCTCTCTTGTGCAAGTATGACGTAGTATATGTTCGGTATTATAATTTATATTGTTTTTTAAAAATAATTTTTATTTAAAATACGTTAAAATAATTTTTTACATTAAAAAGGAATATCAAGTCCTGTGTAAAAAGAATAAAAAAACAAAAAAAATCATCATATAATAACTAAAAACTCTAATTAATATTTAAACATCTTGGTTAAAAGACTAACAATATAATAAATGGTATATTATTTAGATATTATTTTTATTATCCATCAAACAACATTCAAGAAAACAAAACCGGACCTTAGTATGTCATTGTCATTTAGTGAATAATAAGGTTCTATTATTTGGGCCTATGGTATATTAATTAATATCAAAAGGAAAAGGCCCTAATATTGTACTGTTTTACCATGAGTTATTTAACATATAATAAGATCATTTAATACACATAATTTAGTATCTACCGTTATGGTTTAAATGACTATATACTAAATAACTTTCAAAGAACATGGTCTAACATTGGACCATTCCATCATGTGTTATTTACTACGTAATAATGGTTTGAAAATCTCATATTGTATATTTATTATAGTTTTTTGTATTATCTTAATCTTATCGCCTATATCACATAATTAGAGGGTTAATTTAATTAATTTAACTATTTTTTATTTATTTTTTAATATATATATATATATTAATTTTGTTATTTAACATCTTTAATGTCTGGTTGATTATGAATTAAACTTTGTTGTTTATTTTGGTTTATTTTTTATGAAATTATTTTAACTTCATGACTTAAATCATGGGTTTTGCGAGTTAACTTGAATAAACTTATGTTGTTTTATTATTATTTTTTTAATTTTATTATTTAATAATAAGTTTATTGAAAATTAAGCTTTATAATTTATTTAGTTTTTTATATGAGGTTATCGTAATTTTATTATTTGAATTGTAAATTTAAAATATTATATCAGATCGATAAAATATATTATCATCTTAATATTTTTTTAAAAATAATATTATAAATTATTTTTTTAATTAAATTATTTTTAAACCTATAAAATTGATGAAATCACTTTATATCAACTCCCATATTATCTCATTCAATATATACCTAACACAAAACTAACAAATTGGAAAGTCTAGTTAAATTTATATGCATATCTAACACAAGACATGACAGATAGCTATGTCCAGTCAAACTCAATTAATATCGTTTGACTTACCCAACATTATCTAAATACTTAATAATCATCCCCCTCAAAAAAATGATTATTGTTTGACTTACCCAACATTATCTAAATAATCATCCCCCTCAAAAAAATGATTAACCCCCCCCAAAATAAATAAATAAATAAATCAGAATCTGTAGGAAATGCATTTAGGTTATTTTCAATCTCTTTACCTTTTTACCGAACATGTTCTCAATGTAATTGATATTATTATTATACGCTGAATGAAATTTCTATATTCTTTCTTTAAAAAAATATAACCTTGAGTGATGAATGAATTCCCAGTCAAGCAAAGACATGACTATAGGTATTAGTGATGTGATGACTACAAAAACAATACAAGAAAGATAATAAAAATAAATATCATATAATTATGTTAAATAGAGATCACATCCAAATTATAATTTAAAATTTTATTATTAAATATTTTTTTTCAAGTAGTTTTCTAAAATGCATGATAAATAAATCTATTTTATATATTAAAAAAATCTTAATTAAATCTTAAAAAAACAATAAAACAACTCTAAATAAAAAAAATCATAAATCAACTAAGAAAATATTGTAAATACTAAATAGTAACTTCCGAGCCTCCCTTGAATGTCTTACTGATTTCTAATAGCCATGTAATTTTAATCTTATAAAAAATAAAATCTCTAAAATTTTTATTAAAATCTCATCCCAATCCAAGAGATTGTGGGTTGAATTTGAGAAAATTATATCCATTGACATAAATTCATGTACCAGGGAAAAAAAAATCCCATGCATCAATTAGTCAGTCATATCATCTCCTGCAGGATTCATGAAAATGCGACATGGAGACAGGGAATTCGGAAGCAATATGTCTTATTTCGAACATCAATCTCACATGAAATAAATTGCTAATTAAATTGCCCGAGCTAATAAAATGACTCATTTATTTTGAGAATAAACAGAGGTAAGGTACATGTGTCAAGGTGTCTGATCCTCTAATTAGTGAAGTTATTGATCCAAAAATGTCTCTCAGTCCCGCAGCAAATTCACGCATGGAAGGCAGAAGATCATATCAGCTAGTTTTAGGGTTTTGTTATGAAGTTGTCAACTGGTTCGCACAGAGTTTTGCTCAACTGGTAATTAAAACTTTGAGAAAAAGACATCTATGAATCTGCTAGCTGCTTTCTATATCGTTAAATATTTTATTCACTTGATTCTCTTTATAAGAATAGCTACCTAGAGCAGAAGTACTAATATTTTAATCTGAACTCAAGTTGACCTACTTGATAAACACGGTAATGCAGATGGTACTCAATATATATTCCCTGTAAAGAATCTAAGCTCAAGAACTTGTGCAATGGTCTGACAAAGTATAAGTGACCAGCACACCTCCTTCATTCCTGCCTGCTGCTGGCCACCAGCTTACAATTTAAGAAATTCAAGTTTCTGCTTGTTGACCTTACTGGGGATACAACTATAAGAAAATAATTACTTTCCTTCCAAGAACAGCCAGGCTGCGGTGTTGACCTTGATATTAACTTCAATCTGTTCTTTTTTTTTTTTGTCTTACATGCGGGGACAGCTGTAAACTTGTCCTTATCAGGTGATTCAATTAAGAATATAAACATATAAATGAAGGCGTGCCGCCGTGTGTGGTGTTGTCTTTGCTTGCTAAACATACCAATCAAACTGATTTTTGTTATCTAGCCCTAAATGATGCCTGAATCCCATGGTTCTATAGAGCTTCCCGTTTTTGACATCTCACAGCCCATTAGTCCATCCTGTCTCTCCTCCCTTTCTCTAGCCTGCAACGAATGGGGTTTCTTCCATATTATTAACCATGGAGTTTCGAAAGATGTTTACAGGAAACTCTACTCCCTCTCAACACATATCTTCAGCCTGCCTTACGAGTCCAAAATCAAGTTAGGTCCATCATCATCGGTAAGAACCTACACCCCTCATTTTATTGCATCTCCATTCTTTGAAAGTCTTCGTGTTTCCGGACCAGACTTCTTTGCTTCTGCACAAAGTTCCACAGGAATTCTCTTGGACCATCCAAATCCTGATGAATTCAGGTAATAAATAGTAATTCACCAGTCAGAACTACTATTTTCACCTATTTTTCTCATTCCTTTAATCAGTTGAGAATGAAGCATGAAGCCAAGCAATAAAATGAAATCTGTTATATTCTTATTATAGAGCATGTTTCTGATGAATATATTTCTGTTACCTTGTGTTTACACCAGTGAGACCGTTAAAGAATACGGGATCGAAATGTCTGAGCTTTCGAGAAGAATAGTGAGGGCAGTGCTAATGAGCATGGGAGGAGATTTTGCAAGGAAGTTTTATGAATCTGATTTCAATAACTGTCACGGATACTTGAGAATAAACAGCTATTCGCCAGCAGAAATTAGTACTGTGGAAGGAAAAGAAGTTGAGGGGCTTGGAATGCACACGGACATGAGCTGTGTGACAATTGTATGTCAAGATGAGATTGGAGGGCTTCAAGTAAGATCCAGGGAAGGGAAGTGGATGGACATAAACCCACGTGAAGATACTCTTGTAGTGAACATTGGAGACTTGATGCATGCGTGGAGCAATGGGAAGTTGAGATCATGTGAACATAGAGTTGTTTTAAAAAGAAACGTACACAGATTCTCTTTAGCCTTCTTTTGGTGCTTTGAGGATGAGAAGGTGATTTTTGCCCCCGATGAAGTGGTGGGAGAAGGAAGTATGAGGATCTATAACCCATTTGTTTGCAGAGAATATTTGAAATTCAGAGAGAGCAGTGAGAAAGGTAGGTTTGATAAGGTTGGGTTTACTGTTAAAGATTTTGCTGGAAATCTGTAACGATAGGGAGGTACGTGGTTGACCTGCACTAGTTATTGTTGTATATGCATTTTCTTTTTGTCTATGATTCTTCGACTTTCCTTTTGCTGTGGAGGTGCTTCATTTGAGGTTATGAGAGCTAAGAGAAAATGATGGTTTAATGGTTAAGATTGTTGCTGTTCTTATGTTATTGGCAAAGCCAACTTAAGCCACCCAGACTAGAAAATAATTGAAAAGACCTCAGCAGCAAAATCTAGAAACGAAGAGATTATTTGCAAGATGCCACAACACCGGATCTTCTTGGCATCCCCATGTCTTCCTGAAATAGAGCTTGCTGAAATGGTCCGGCCAGAATCTGTAGAGATGTGAATTTTCAATGATGAACTGTGCGTAGGTTGCAGTAATCGAAGACGCCACAGTAGTGGACTTCGACGTTATAATTCATGCCAACTTGTCTGGCAACAGAGCCTCTTTTCGTTGCAGACTCGGGGTGTGTTTATTTAAGCATGCGACGCGGAGCTTATCTCTTTGAAAAACGTGAAATTCATGATTTATGTGAGCTGTGTTGTATCGTATACCTCGTAAATAAATAAATAAATTTTTTTGAGTTTGTTGTTTAATATTATTGTAATTTTTATTTTTTTAAAATAAAATAAAATAAATTTTTTAAAATTTATTTTTGATATTAGTATATTACAATAATATAAAATATAAAAATAATTTTTTTAAAATAAAAAAATAAAATGGCTTTAGTCTTGAGAGTGAAAGTTATGGTTATAAGTCTAGAGAGATTCTTTTGCTAATAGTTATTAAAAATAACAATTAAAAAGTAATTATAAAAATTTATATCCTAATATTGAAGTCTCTTTTACTATTTTTGATTTTTATTATTGAATTAGACTTAATCTGTCTAATCTAATCCAAATTTTTAAAAAAACTACTAAAAAAAATTTGTTTCCTCTAATTATATATATAAAAATACAATCCACATGAAAAAAATAGTTTTTATTTGTTGAATAATAATTTCCTTTCTCTTTTCTGATTTTAGATTCTTTATAATACTTTGACAAAATTTATAAAATCATTCATATTATGAAATATCATTTTGGTTATAGTAATTAAAATATACTAAAATAAAAATAATAAAAAAATAAATTTTTACAAGAATCTTTTTCTTTGAATCTACATGTATAAATCATCTAAACAATAAAAGAGAAAAAAAAAAGAAGAAAAAAAAGAGGGCTGTTGGAGCCATGCTAGCAACACATGCTCATGTTAATGGAAGATATGCATTATAAAAAATGAATTTTAATTTAATTTATAATTTAAAAATTATTTTTCACAAATAATTCATGAAAAAAATGACTTTCAGGTTAGCAAATAACTACAAAAATGACTTTGAAGTTAGCAATATTTTTTTTAGGAACGGATGAAGTATGGTAAAAAATCACAAGCGCAAAGTTAAGTTTTTTAATTTTGATTAAATAAAAAATACTGACTTTATTTAATAATAAATTCTATATTTAAGTCAAATACTATTTCCAACCAAATATATTTATAAATCGAGAGTTTAGAAAAAGAATCAAATTACTCTGTAAAAACCATATATATCCGATTAGCTTCTAGATAGGCAAATCCGTAGTGCTATTTACAAGAATTTCTTTCAGGCAACTTCCACTCGGGAGGACGATACAAGGACGAAGATGAAGTAAAACCAAAAGAATTGGGGTCATAAAACAGTTTGTACATAACCATGAAAAAGAAAAGTGCTAAAATCCGAAAACGACTTAAATTTCAGGGGCCGAGATAATAGTTTAGACCAAATATTTCAAACAAAAGACAAAATAAACTCGACAAGCACGCCCCTCAACCCCCGCGCTCTCTCCCTGTCTCTCTGCAATTTCCAGGGTTTCCTGTTTTCGATTACCCCACTCGATTAAAAAATCGGAGAGATGGTTCTATCACAGAAGATTCACGAAGCATTCAAAGGAACAGTGGAGAGAATCACAGGTCCACGCACTGTTTCTGCCTTTAAAGAGAAAGGCGTTCTTAGTGTCAGCGAATTCATTCTGGCCGGCGACAATCTCGTCTGTAAATGCCCCACTTGGTCCTGGTAATTTGCTTCTTCGCCACTTCCCCCCTTTAAAAAGCCTCCATCTTTTCATTGTGTAAAATTCTTCGGTTTTTAATCATAAAGTATATGCTTTAATTCTGGTCTTGATTTTATTCTGTTTTTAATAGGGAATCTGGCGAGCCGAGCAAGAGGAAGCCTTACTTGCCTGCTGAGAAACAGTTTCTGATTACTCGAAATGGTGAGTTCTGCCATTATCAGCAGTGTTCTTATTTGTTTCTTGCATCTTCAAATATGAAGTTATTATTTTTATATGGCAACTAGCAATTACATAGACCTGTAATGTTCTTGTTCAGTGAAGAAAAATTACAGAGGGAAATCGTAGTTCACATTGTTTTGAATGTAAAGAAAGATGCTAATTTATACTCATTCAATTTGATGAATACGTTTGCAGTTTTTGCTTTATTGTATATTGTTGATGCAAATTGTGAACTTCACTTTTAGTTCCTTGTCTACGAAGAGCTGCGTCTGTAGAAGAAGAGTATGAAGCTGCTGGAGGTGAAGTTCTACTTGATAATGAAGATAATGATGGATGGCTAGCAACTCATGGGAAACCTAAAGGTATCCATTCTTGCTGGAGCTCGATATCTTCAACCAATGTTTAGTCTTCTCAGCTCTGACTTTATGATTTGCATTTGGTCTAGAAACTAAAGGTGATGAGGATGAGAATGTGCCTTCAATGGAGGCTCTAGATATCAGTGTTAAAAGAATTCCTATCCAAACAAACCCTTCATACTTTGGGGAAGAGGAGGAGGAAGATATTCCTGACATGGCAGACTTTGAAGACCCTGACAATCTAATCAAATCAGATCCTGTAACTTGCTATTTCTATTCTTCACACCCTTGTTATTTTCTGGTTAGAAAGGCGGAAATATTTTTATAGTTATCTATTCAAATCTGAGTGATGTAGGCAACACTTCAGACTACATATGTAGTGGCTCACGAACCTGATGATGATGATAACATTCTACGCACTCGAACATATGATGTCAGCATCACGTAAGATGAATTTTGATTGATAGTTTTTTCTTAAATCTGGGTTTGATAACACAGCTCTAGAGCATTTGCCATGTTCTGTTGAACTATGTGATTTAGCTGTGCTACAATTCTCATAGCTGAGGTCTTCATACTTCCTTTCAAACACCAATGTAATAGTCCAATGATGGTTGCAGGAAATTCAGAAACTCGATGCAGTTTTTTAAGCCTATCATAACATGGTTTTTTTCCTTGTATCTGCAGGTATGATAAATATTATCAAACTCCTCGTGTATGGCTTACTGGATATGATGAGGTTTGTTGCCATTCTATCAAATATTTTCAACCCTTTTCAGTTGGGTAGTGAGTATTAGAACAATATATTTTATCAATCAAAGATATTTTGGTGCAATGAAAATGCACATGAAGGTTGTGATCTCCTTTTATTGTGGTCTGTGAAATTGATTTCTGAACATGGTTATAGGCAAGGCTGTATTGTATTGAATTGAACTTGTTCCTGCACATCATCTATGCAGTTTGACTCATTTGCTGACTGTGTTCTTTTCTTGCATGGCAGTCAAGGATGCTTTTGCACCCAGAGCTTGTACTTGAAGATGTTAGCCAAGACCATGCACGCAAAACGGTGCTGAGATTTTTATGCTGTTTACCAATCGATATTGTGCACATTGGATGTGTTGTACACACACACAAATTGTCCCCTTTTGCTTTGGATCTGCTATTAGTAGACTGAGGAACTGTTATTTGGCAGAGTCATGATGTTGTTGAATAAAATTATTGTGGTGTTGCGTGCATGCCTGCATCTTAGTGTGGGTGCCTGCATGACTTTACAGTACAAATAGGTCACCATGGCTCACCAATGGCGTCATGTGGTTGTGACCTTAAGATCCATAAAAGGGGGGGAATGTGAATTTACATTTTAATGATTTCATGAGAAAAAGGGGGGCAATGTGAATTTACATTTTAATGATTCATGAGATGTCGCTTTAGAATCAAAATTCTTAAAGTAACACAACCCTCCTTGCATTGCAATGGAATTTTAAGGTTGTGGACCTTGAGTGGCATCATTTTGAACATGTGTCAGTTTTTACAGAACCATTTTGCATGTGTCTCCATCACCTTGTGCTTCTAAATTTTTTTCCCCTCAAGTTCAAGTCAGATTGAGAAACTGGGTAGTTTTCCATTGGTCATTTGTCTGCTTGATGTATCTCCTGACTTTTGTGTGTCATTTCATAGAGAATAAATTAGGTGTTGCTTCATATAGTCTTTTCTCCTTGTATCTAAATTGATCCTGCACAGGTAACTATTGAAGACCATCCTCACTTACCTGGGAAGCATGCATCAGTGCATCCTTGCCGACATGGGGCTGTAATGAAGAAAATTATTGATGTTCTAATGTCTCACGGAGTTGAGCCAGAAGTTGGCAAGTGAGTTTTTTTTTTTTTAATCTTATACCAATAGAGGGAAAAATGAAATTCAATGAAATGCCTTTAATTGTAATTATGTCCTGGACTCTTCTCATGAGAACCCAGTGAGATGAGGTTGGAGGCTTAAAGATAGGTCTGAGTGGAGCCCATATAGTTTTATCCAGAGCTTGAGTAAGTTTCTTAATAACAAAATAGAATGTTCTCTTCCTAAATCAGATGAATTTCTTACTCTGGAAGTCAAGTATAGTCACCAGATTTTGCCAGGTTAAACTATCCTTGTCCAAGGCAGTTCAATTATTTGTGGTTCCCATACCTCTCTTTGATGGGATACACTAGTCACCAGTAATCTGCTTTTCTTTCTTTAATTTTTTTTTAAAAAAAGAACAGAAAAAAGAAGCTGCTTGTATGCAATAAGACATGCAACATCTCTGGATTATTTAACCTCGATCCTGTCACAGACTCATAGCTCCTGGCCTGATGTCTCATAGTCTGTGTACTATTCAGCAACATCTGTGGATCATTAATAGTTTTATTTGCTCAAGTTTGATTCGTTTGTGTTTTGTACATTTAGTTTATGGCATTTTATTCTAGTGTACATGTCAACAGATCTTTAATGAATACATCCTTCCTTTCATTTTGTAGATATTGTGATTGCGATTACATGTCAATACATCTTTCATAATCTCCTACTTCTATTTTCCCCTTAGTTTATGGCATTTTGTTCCAGTGTACAATTTTCCTGTCTTGGTTACTATCTATGTTTCTCTGTTATTTTGTAGATTTTGTGATTGCAATTACATGTAAATACATCTTTCATAATCTCCAGCTTTCATTTTTGTCCATCTCTGTGTATCTTACAATTGCAATTTCTTACTTCGTAGGTACCTTTTCTTATTTTTGAAATTTGTAGCCTCTGTAATTCCAACCATTGAATATGACTACACCATGGATTTCGATCTTGGTAGCTCAAGTAGCTGATGTGAGGTAATTTCCATAATTAATCTCTTTTCCCCTCCCGGCATTGTTCCAACATTGTTGAATTTTTTTTGCAAATTTTGTTCTTCCCTTGTTGTATTAAAATGCTATGCTTTGTAACATGTGCATGTCAAACAATTTGCTTTGCCATTGTTGCTCCTGCTCTCCAAATGAAAGAATATGCTTATAAAAAGTTTGTCAACCGGCCTGGTTGGATTCTTATTGTTGATCTACTCACTAAGCATTACCTTTGGTTTCTTGGTGTCAGTTGAGCAGATCCTTTTTAATTCTATTTCATGGGCTGTTTTCTTTTCTTCCTATACCACCCAGATCCTCCATTTAAGTGCACCTAGACATCTATATAACTATTTATTGAGTTTGGTGATGATTTTTAAATCATGTTTGTTTACCCTTGCCAGGCTGAAACTGCGGTAAATTCAAGAAAAATCTTCTGGGGTGTTTGCAATCATTGCACTGTACAACTTCCATAACAATTATTATTGTACATAAATCCTATAAACAATTTCTTACTGATACGCCTCAATAACTGTGAATCCCTTGTGTTCTTATGATCATATATAGTTGTTTATTTATACAATGTAAATGCACAGTTTTATTTGAATTGTTTATCGTGACAAGCCATGTTCAGTAAGCTTGGGGGGGGAGGGGGGGTTCCTTGCTCACTGCAGGCATGGTTATGATGATCTTAAGTCAGCGAAACAACGGAATCTTGTTGTCAATCATTTGATATAGAAACAGCTGTTTATCTTGAAGTTTTTTATTTTCCCATCTTGGAATGAGGGGTGAAATATAAATTCTACCAAGAATAGGTGCAATGCAATTCTACTAGCAAATGCTTTACATGTCAGCTGTTTTGGTACATGTCACTGACTTTCTTAAACTCTGACATCAATTATTTGGTACTAGCAAAAGCAGCAGAATTATTTCAAGGTTGAAAGATGCTTTTGGCCTGTAATAACACATTGCACATGCAGAGGAGGCAACCCATCATTTTGTTGCATTTTTTGGGGACAAATTTGGTAATTAGTATACAAAACAAAAGGAAATGGGAAACATTAATGTTTTTTTTTTCCTTTTGGGTAAAATAATTCACTTTTGAATGTTATGATTGTAAACTTTGATATTTAATTAAATGTTATGTTTTTTTAAGTTCTGTAAAATTAAATGTTGTGGTCGGTAACAGAATGTTGCATGTTGAGTAAGATGAATGGTAGTGCGATAAGTTTAAAAATGCGATGTATTAAAAAATTAATATTTAATAAATATTATATTCTTGAGGTATAATAAGATAAATCTCAATATTTTTTTTTAAATAATTTTATTTTGCCAAAACTTAAATACCAATATCTTTTTAAAAACATTATGGAATCTTCTTGTTGTCAATCATTTGATATAGAAACAGCTGTTTATCTTGAAGTTTTTTATTTTCCCATCTTGGAATGAGGGGTGAAATATAAATTCTACCAAGAATAGGTGCAATGCAATTCTACTAGCAAATGCTTTACATGTCAGCTGTTTTGGTACATGTCACTGACTTTATTAAACTCTGACATCAATTATTTGGTACTAGCAAAAGCAGCAGAATTATTTCAAGGTTAAAAGATGCTTTTGGCCTGTAATAACACATTGCACATTCAGAGGAGGCAACCCATCATTTTGTTGCATTTTTTGGGGATAAATTTGGCAATTAGTATACAAAATAAAAAGAAATGGGGAACATTAATGTTTTTTTTCTCTTGGGTAAAATAATTCACTTCTGAATGTTATGATTATAAACTTTGATATTTAATTAAATGTTTTTTTTTTGTTTTGTAAAATTAATTAACTGTTGTGGTCGGTAACTGAATGTTGCATGTTGAGTAAGATGAATAGTAGTGCGATAAGTTTAAAAATGCGATGTATTTAAAAATTAATATTTAATAAATATTATATTTTTGAGGTATAATAAGATAAATCTCAATAATTTTTTTTAAATAATGTTATTTTGCCAAAATTTAAATACCAATATCTTTTTAAAAACATTTATTGGAGTGCTAACACGTACCATATCCACACCAAGATCTACATTGTAATGCTACGTGTTAAGCAAAGCACCATCTTATAGAAATGGTCAAGCACCAGGTAAGCCAACGGCAAGTATTGGTTGTCGTTTTAACCGCACCCATCAATCCAGTAGAATATATAAACACATTCTACAAGCCCCTGCCCTCTCAAATCACATTCTACAAATCTCAATCTCACTAAGGTCAGCATTGAGAAAGAGAAATGAAGGGAACTCTCTGCTTATCAATAATTTTCATCGCTCTCTTCTTCTCTGCAGATGCTAATGGCTTCTATGTAAGTACCTTAAACCCCCCCGTAACTCCAAATTATTTTCCTTTCCTTCCCCCATATTATCTGCCATTGATCTTACGTAAATAAATCTATGTATCCATCCATTTAGACAAGATTTGATCATGTGGAATCCACATTATAGTGGATATTAAGTTTTTTATTTATTTTAAAATTAAGCTATTTCTGTTTATGCCTTTGATATGCTGGCTAGATCTAGCAAATATTATTATCAACACCACCTTTGCTCTATTAAGTAATTGAGTTTTACATAGTATTTTCCGAAATAATTTCCCGGAAAGTCTCACCTATTGGATAAATGGAATTCACAAGTCCAATGGTTGAGGTTATATCTCAAGGAGTGATTTCGGAAAGATTTTCAATAGTTGAGATTCAATATATTTTTCGTCATTATTACTAACTAGAATCTAAATATAAGAAAACGAGAATATCAGACATTTAACAAAGATTCTATGTGTTGATTGTTCAATTTTTTTTTAAAAAAATTATACGTATCTTAATCTTTGGTACAAACAGGGCGGCGGCGGCGATTGTGTATACGCTCTCTACGTCAAGACTGGATCAATAATGAAGGCAGGAACAGACTCAAAAATCAGCCTGACACTAGGAGACGCACAAGGCCGATCAGTGTGGGTTCCGGACCTTCAATCATGGGGTTTAATGAAGCCCAAACATGACTACTACGAGCGTGCTAACCTTGACATCTTTAGTGGCCGCGGTCAGTGCATCGGTGCACCCATATGCCGCCTCAACTTGACCTCTGATGGCCAAGGGTCTCACCATGGCTGGTACTGTGACTACGTGGAAGTCACCTCCACAGGACCACACAAGGAGTGTAGCCAGACTATCTTTTATGTTGATCAATGGTTGGCTGCTGATGTTCCACCCTTTAAGCTAACTGCCTTGCTTGATGGATGCAGAATCGGGGATGATGCCTTGAAGAAGGGAAAAAATGGGAAGTTCGCTGTGGAGAATGTTAGAGGATCTGCTTTTTCTTGAGATCAGTAGGAGAGCAATCCAGTCTACAAAACTGGATTCCTTGTAGGTCTTCGATGAGTTGGAAGACCAAAATATGCCCCACTTTGATTAACAAGAATAATTAATCCTGGTGCGCGCACACGAGAGTCGCCCGGAGACCCACAGGAAAAACCCACATTAATCTAAAAAAAAAGAATAATTATAATTCCTCGGTTAGTATCCCTAAAACACCCTAAAGGGTTTCTGTTATCATCGGCAACAATGAGGAGCAAAACACGAGTTATGGAAATGTAATCTGTTCATAAGAATTCCTGGGTTAGTATCCCTAAAACACCCTAAAGTGTTTCTGTTACCATCGGCAACAATGAGGAGCAAAATACGAGTTATGGAAATGTAATCTGTTCATAGTCACATGAATATTGGAAGAGAAGAACTGCCAAGTATGGCGGCGGCCACCAAAAAAAAAAAAAGGCTTCTAAGTGCTAACAAAGTCAATAACTGATAGAAAAGAGAAAGTCAAGAGAAACGCTTCTGGATCACTGCATCCAGTCTAATCACTGGACATTTGTTCTTCTTTGAGAGGTACACTTCGGATATTGAAAGAATGCTAGCTCCAACAATTGCGGGGGTCTCTGCGTGCATGACCTCGCAGGGTGTGAATTAGCATTGATTTTCTCCTGTCAAGTTACTCTCTCTTGTGAAGATTTTTCTTCGGACTAACTACAAATATTCCTCCCTCCTTCGAGCTAAAATCATTTTAACCTTCGCTTTTGGTTTCCAATCCTTAGTTTTTAGTATTGATGGCGATGATCAACCAGTAGAAAACATCTATCTATCTATCTACATCTATCACCATCAAAACTAAAAACGAAGGATTGGAAACCAAAAAAACAGGTTAGAAATGATTTTAGCTCGAAGGAGGGAGGAATATTTGTAGTTTTAAAATATAGAACTATATATATATATATATGGAATCTCTCGATAATAAATAAAATTCATCCAATAAAAATAAACGAAGGAACTAGCACTACGTACTCCACCTCAAGTGGAAAATCGGAAACCACAAAAACTGGTAACGTCTACGCGCTCTCTCTCTCGAATGACCTTCGCGCTCTCTCTCTGAACATAAATGGAATCTCTCGATCAAACCCCCAACCTTTATTTTCAAACCCCACAAGACCAATCCAATCCACCTCCACCACCACCGGAAACCCTAGATTTCATCCCCGTTTGCCCTAACTCACCCTCTCCTCCTCCAGCTGAAGATGCTCAATTTCCCGATCCCCAAAACCCACACAAAACCCTAATCTCCAATCCTCCCCAAATTGCTCCTAAAAATGGCCACAATCCCCAAACTACCACACCAAAACCCGAGATCCCGAAGCCCTTACTCTCCGAAAATAGCGTCGTTAACACAAACAGTGGTGACAGAGACTACTCTGGTGGAGAGGAGGAAACCACCAGCCGCCGCCGCCGCCGTTGCAGTCGTTGGGACCCACCGGCGGATGCTGGTGCCGATGGTAGTAATAATAATGATTCGGGTAGCGGCACGAGGAAGCGAAAATCGAGGTGGGCTGACGACGAGCCAAAGCCCGTGATTCAGTTACCTGATTTTATGAAAGATTTTACTGGAGGTATTGAATTTGATCCGGAAATTCAAGCTTTGAATGCTAGGCTATTGGAGATTAGTAGGATGTTGCAGTCTGGTTTGCCTCTTGATGATAGACCTGAAGGAGCTAGGTCTCCTTCGCCTGAACCAATTTATGATAATATGGGAATTAGGATTAACACAAGAGAGTATAGGGCAAGAGAAAGACTGAACAAAGAAAGACAAGAGATTATTTCGCAGATTATTAAGAGAAACCCGGCCTTTAAACCGCCAGCAGATTATAGGCCCCCCAAGCTTCAAAAGAAGCTTTATATACCTATGAAAGAGTATCCAGGCTATAATTTTATTGGGTTGATTATTGGGCCAAGAGGGAATACCCAGAAGAGAATGGAGAGGGAGACAGGTGGTAAAATTGTTATTAGAGGTAAGGGGTCAGTGAAGGAAGGGAGATTGCAGCAGAAGAGGGATCTGAAACCAGATCCATCAGAGAATGAGGATTTGCATGTTTTGGTCGAGGCGGAGACACAGGAGGCATTGGATGCTGCTGCAGGGATGGTTGAGAAGTTGTTGCAACCTGTGGATGAAGTCTTGAATGAGCATAAGAGGCAGCAACTTAGGGAACTTGCTGCTTTGAATGGAACAATTAGGGATGAGGAGTATTGTAGGCTATGTGGCGAGCCAGGCCACAGGCAGTATGCATGCCCTTCGCGGACCTCTACGTTTAAGAGTGACGTGCTTTGTAAGATTTGTGGTGATGGTGGACATCCAACCATTGATTGTCCTATGAAGGGAACAACTGGGAAGAAAATGGATGATGAGTATCAGAACTTTTTGGCTGAGTTAGGTGGGACTATGCCTGAATCTGCAACTAAGCGAACTGCTACCTTAGCTTTGGAGTCAAGTGGTTCCGGAAAAAATCCTCCCTGGGCTGGTAGTAATACCGGGGGTCTTGGTAGTGCGAATCAAGCAGGGCTGGGAGCAAATGGGCTCACACCTAAGGAATATGATGATACGAATTTGTATATTGGTTACTTGCCACCCAATCTTGATGATGATGGGTTGATTGGATTGTTTTCTTCTTTTGGTGAAATTGTGATGGCCAAGGTCATTAAGGATCGGATTACTGGATTGAGTAAAGGCTATGGTTTTGTGAAGTATTGTGATGTTCAAATGGCTAATAATGCAATCGCAAGCATGAATGGTTATCGCATTGATGGTCGAACCATTGCTGTGAGAGTTGCTGGTAAGCCACCTCAGCCTACTGTCCCGCCAGGTCCTCCAACATCAACCATGCCCGCATACCCGGTCTCAACTCAACCACTTGGAGGTGCTTATCCCTCGCAGCAGTTTACAGCAGGTGGTCCCCTTCCAAATGGTCCACCTACCAGCTTTGTTGGGGCGCACACCAGCTATACAGGAACTCGGGTTCCATGGGGACCACCAGTTCCCTCTCTTTATGGTTCTTATGGTCCTCCTGGATCAACCATGTACCCTCCCATTCCTGGACAGCCTATACCTCCTTATGGTGTGCAATATCCTCTACCAGTGCAGCCAGTTCCCTCGGGCACACTGACTCAAACTGTGGCATCTAGTGAGGCTCAACAAAGCTACCCACCAGGAGTGCCATCTGAAAACAGCTTATCTGCTCCACTTACAGCCTCAAATGTGTATGGGCACTCGATAGGTTATTCATCTTACTACAGTGCAGTTCCTCCTCCTGCTCCCTCCCCAGCAACGGACCATTCACATGGAATGGGTAATGTGCCTTGGGCTCCAAACTCGACCATGCCACCTCCACATTCTTCTTCTGCAGAGAAAGCAAGATATGGTGCAGATGCAGAATATGAGAAGTTTATGGCAGAGATGAAATGAGGCCAGTTGCTTTCCTAGTTACTTTCAATTGAAGAGGTAAATGGAATGTCCATTTTCTTGTTACTTGTTATGATTCCTTTGGGTTCTTAACTGTGGGCATCTTACACTCGTGCATAGAGTTAGACATGCCTTTTATAGGACTAGAGACAGTATAAATCCTATCAAAATCTGTCCATCCAACTGTTTTGTTGCATTGCTTTTCTGATCATAGAGTTCTCTTGCCTTATGGTATTGCACTTTTGCAAAATTTTGAAGTCATTGTTTCTTGGAGTCAAGCTCAACGGAAGTTCTATGAAACATCAGCCCTTGCAGATATTGAGTTTCATGTTTGGTATCCGTGACAGAGTGTTATGTGTAGGAGTTGTTGTATACTGTAGTTATTATGAACTATTTATACTAGAACGTTATTTCTTAAAAAGATGGAAAAAAACATACAACGTGGCTTTCTGTTCTTTTGTTTTTGCTAAAAAGTTGTTGTAACTAGAAAAAAATTACCATCAATGTAAGTTGACTCAGGGCAATGGAAGTTTTTAGCTTTGCATTTCACTTTTGCATTCTGGATTCTCACTTGGTGTGTTTTTTTTACATCCAAAGGTATTTAAAAGGAAGGAGGTTATAACTTTTTCAGTATGTAAGTCTACCCCTTCTAAATGCAGATGAGATTGTAGATTATTTATGATTCCTTATTATTATATAATTTTCCATTTGGTTTGTTTGTGATATTCTAACCATTTACCTTCTTTGCAATGGTATTGTATGCCTTGTCATCTAGCAGTGGTAGATCGTGTGAACAACCTCTCCTGATTTATCTTTCTTTATTAAATCTAATTGCTTATGAAATGATGTTTAATCAAAACAGTTACTAAGTCAAATATGTTAGGACTAATCATAGTTTTGAGTTGTCTCACTGAAAGGAAAAAAATCTGCACAGTCCTCTTATCAACATGTTTTTTTACATTTCTTAATCCTTTTTTGCCGTTATTGAATGATTTTGACAGGGCTGATGTTTCTTGGCGCAGCCTGATTTCTTACCTCTTGCCATGACTTTGTTGGAAGTTTGGGACTCACATCTTTAACCTTGCTGTACTATTATCGCATTTGCAGAGATATTGGCTAGCGAGTTCATACAGGCACATTTTGGAGAAGCTGCTCAAATCTTATTGATATTATTATTTCTTGTTTTCTTATTGAAGTTAACATTGTTTTCTTATCAATGTCTGTTTCCTCCTATATGATGTCTTATTGCTAACTTCTACTTTTATTTGCTTAATTGAATTTTTTTGGAATATCTCACTGACGGTTTTGTGTTACATTTGACCATCTTTGGTGTGCTTAACCATTTCTTGTCTTGGCTTTAATGTTATTTTTTATTGTTGTTCACCTTTTACTTTGAGGATAGTTGAGTTATCCTAGTTGCTATGCTGTTGAAGCTTCTTCAGGTTTGTTCATCCTATCTTTCAAGATGGTGAGTGTCTTAGAATATGAATGCCTTTTGGGTATGTGTAAGAAGCTTTCAATTCATTCTTTTTGCTTATTTGTTTTTCTTTCTCTCCCGTTTGCTTGTAAGGTTGTTCTGATGTCTCTTCCTAGCTTTTACATGGCAGTTAAAAGATCTCAAATACATATTTAGTTTTGGTAGTGATTTTTTTTTTTATCAAATACAATGCTATGTGATTTAGGATATAGTTGAATATGGAACCTGAGGGAGCTAACTGTTCGTGTGAATTAAGAGAGTTATCAATTTCCTGTTTAGCTGGTCAATGAAGTGTGATTTAGGACCCATTTAGAGCTGCAGTGTGAAAACTAGTTGCGATACAAGCATATGCTTCTGTGATTGCAGTGCCAAAGTGGCACATAGTGGTTTACATAAGAAAGTCTGTTAAACATATTGCATGATGATTTGAAAGCATTATTATCTTGTCAGTGGTATTTCAGATTGTTGGTAATTTCTCGAACCTTAGCCTCCGTGGTATAATAAACAAAACATTTTAGCTTTGTATTTTTTCTAAGATGAAATTTGCCACCCACAGAACTTTCTATTGACCTGTTCTTTCATAGAACCTTCCTAAATTTCTGTCATTTCTTCTTACCCATTTGTACCCTTCTTGAATGTACATTCACAACTCTTTTTTTAATTACTGGTGAGCTGTGAACAGCTGTAGGTATGTTTTTGATAATCTGTTTTCTCCAACTAGATTCTTTTGTAAAGCTTTGACTAGCAATCATAGTTCCAAATAAATAAATATCCAAAATAAAATAAAATTGAATTTTCCTTCTGAAGGAAGGATTGGTGTTTTGCTCGGATAAATTGACATGTAGCGACTTAAATATTAGTGGCAAGGAAGACTTTAGAGATGACATAATTTTGCTCAATTATTCAGTATTTCAGCTATTTTATGTTCAAAACCTAGCACCCTGATTGTTGGGAAGTTGAAGAGTTCGATGTTTGCATCTATTCATTTTGTTATTGCATCAGCTGCAGGTCATAGGCACTAAGTTGTCTCATGGCGTGTATATGCATTTCTGGTGGTAATGGCATTGTGGTCATTTTTCTTGCGGCGAGGATGTTATACACCTCGATTAATTTATTAATATTTTTCCTGGTCTATTTCATTTTGCGTGCTAACTTTGTTGTGTGCAAGATGGTCAGGATTTAGTTCCATGAGACGAAAAGAACTTGCTATCATGGGCATCATGGACCTTGTCAGATATTTGATGGTCAGCTCCCAATGTAGTGCTTAACTAGATGGTTTTAGGGATAGTAGAGGTTTAGTTCTGTCATCAAAACCTGATTCTGAAGTGGATATTGCTAATTAGCTAGCAGTCATATAAATTTCTGTATACTGCCACTTCTGAATGTATTGATATTTAATGGTTACTGCTTCTTTGAGTTTATATTTTCCATTGATCACATCATACTGCATTTTGTAATGGTTCATTGATATGGGTTGATGTTGGTGGTTGGATCTCTGCTACAACTTACATGCAGGCCTCATTGCATGCATCACCCCGCATAATTTTCATTGCCTGTGGCCCCCTGTTTGCTTTCTGTGATTTTTTCCCGTCCCCGTGTGTGCTCCTTTGGGGAAGGTGGCTATGGGGGCTGGATTCGTTTTCCCCCTTGCAATGCTTCATTTTTTTTTTTAATTGATATGGTTCTCTGACTGATGGTGTTCTCGAGTATGCCATGGGCATGGAACGTTCTTGATGACTTCTGCTAGATTGTAGGGATGTTTAGATTTATTGATGGGTTTTTTTTTTTTTCTATTGGAACTTGCCTTCTTCAAACTGGTTATATGGTATTTTGAAGTATGGCTGAAGGAATTAACAAAAATCCTATTAAACATCTTGACCACACGAACAATAAACAAAAAAAAAAAAAAACACAATGGCTGAAAGACCATGATATCTTTAAACCCAATGAATTAAATGTCTTGGATTCAAGGGTACATGTGTGGTTATATTGTGTATAAAAATATCAAAATAATCTCAGTAAAAAAATCATGACATTATGATGATGGATAAGAAAACATCAGGAAAATGAGAGTAGGTTTTAGTGAATTACCTATTTTAGTATATTTGTTTTTTCAAATTCACTAAATGATATTAAATAAAAAATATTATTTTTCTATTTTAAAAAATTAAATCAAATTTTTATAGATTATTTTAAAAATAATTTATGGGTTTTTTTTTGTTATTTTTTATTTGGGCTTATAAGTTGATTCAGTTGACTTATAATAACTTCATACAATCTTTTAGTCCTTCAATTCTTTTTTATATTTGAAAAACAATTTGATTCGACAACAATATCACGTGGGGAATAATCTGGTTCATACTATTACACCTTTTGATTTATATTAATTAATTTTCTAATAAAAGTTTTTCTCAATCCTATTGCTTTTAAAACTTTCTCCAATGAAAATACTAGGAATTTATTTGAGAAGGTAAGTGTGATTATTTTTTAAAATATATTTTATATATAAATATATTAAAATAATTTATTTATTTTTATATTAGTGTATTAAAATGATTTAAAAATATCAAAAAAATATTAATTTAAAATTAAAAAATTTAAATTTTTTAAAAATATTTTTAAAACACAAAAATAAATAATATCTGCACATATATATTCATGGTGAAATCATAATGAAATAATGACTTTCAGTGACAATATTCAATTCCATTACTAAGTTCCTTCACATTTTTTTTCTATTGCAAGATTGTAGAGTAGATAAACCAAAAAATTTAAAGTTTTTTCTTAAGTATTTCCTCCCTGATTGAGAGATGTATAAAAAAGTCATGTGACAGTTGTATGACTATAAATGGTCCTACATAAAACTTATTTATTTTTATCTTATTAAAGTTAATTATCATGGTCGAAATTGTATGTTATATGGTTAATATTTTTTATCTTAAAAAACTTTAATTATAACAAATGAAGAATGGTGGATCGTCATGAAGACTTTTTGAAGGGTATCTGTTTAGCTTATCCTCTTGAGGTCGAATAAATATATAAATAATAAATATTATTGTATAAAATGATATTACTATTATATTTAAGGGAAATACAAAGATTAAAAAAAATTAAACTGAAATCAAGAATTTTTTCCATTAATGGATGGATACGAGGGTGTTCGTATTAAATTCCCAAAATTTTAGTTTAATTTCTGATTTCATGCAAAGACAGATCACAAATGGTTGTATGATAAGAATTTTATAATATAATGATATATATATAAATGTGAGCACGAGTCAAATATGTCTTATAGCCTAGTGTGTAAGATATTGTAACGATATCGGCGAGGCCTCGAGTTCGAATCCTACGGTTTTGCGTTTTGAGTCCTTTTCCTTTCCATTTTCATCTTCTCTTCTGCTTCATCGTCATCATCAAGCTTCCAGCCATGGACGATCAAGTAGATCCATCTTCTACTTCTCGCACAAAGGTATCAATCAATCATTTTACTGATAATCAATGATTTCGCGTTTGATTGTTTAGGATTGTGTTGGATGAATAGTTCAGATCTGAAAGTAATAATTCTTAACAAAACGTGAACTGACTGCAGCTTAAGTTCAAGCCTAAACTTCCGCGTAGACAGAGAAGACCCTCCGTCCCCAAAACGTAATTCCGTTTCTATTCTCTGTGTAGTATTTGATTGAAATCCTCTTCTTCTCTTTGTCATAAAACGTTAGATTAATTTTAGTTTTAATATGTGGTGTTGGATGTGGAAAATGCAGTGAAGAGATAAATGATGAAAGGAGGAGTAACGAGGATGAAGAAGCTGCCCAGGCTCAGATGCTCATCCAAAAATTCAATGTATGTGTGCAGATCATGTGCTGTGTTCTCTCTTTGCTTCAACCTAAATATGGTGTTTGGGTTTTTCATCTTGGTCTTATCATCTACCATTTCTTTCCTTTGCCCTATAGAATTGCAGCGTCTTAAGTCAACTTACTGATTTTTATTTAACCATTGCGACCCACCCAAAAGACAAAAGATAGATTAATTAATTATACCTTGATGCGCCTTAATTTTTCCGAAATTCCCAATCCGAAACCGGACCCACCCCGTTCATTCAACCATTCGGATCTTTCGGCATGGTCGTGCCTTATGACTAGTCAGTCAGTCAGTCATCTACACCGCAGCCATCCTTGTTGCTCTTCTTCTAATTATGTTAAACAATTACTGTGTAATCAATTTAGTAGTAGCAGTCGTCGTAGGAGTCTAAGAAAAATAACCTCTTTTTAACTGATCCACAAAAATCTCAGGACAGCCTGCATTTGTTTTTGCTTTCAAAAAATGTTTTTGAAATTTTTTTTCTTCAAACTATTATTTCTTATTTATTTTAGATTATTTTAATGTGCTAATATAAAAAATGAATTTTAAAAAAACAAAAACAATATTATTTTAATTTATTTTTTATTAAAAAACATTTTAAAAACAACCATCATCACAGTTCTAAATACTATCTTGCTATTCTATGCATCCCCCCCGTGGACTAATTTTATGCAGTATCCTAAGCTTAATAAATGCTACAGTCTAATATGGCAATTTATTTATTTATGTTCTTAGCTCAACTGTGATTTGCTTGTGCAGGAAAATCTCAGAAGACAAGTCCCTAAAGAAAAGAAACGTAATCTCTCTTCAGCTTGGACATTCTATTCTGTCGCATCATTTGCGTTTCATCTTTCTTCTGTTTTGTTTATGTTAACTAAGTTTGCTTACATGGACTAAGCTTCACTGTCCAACGTCATGTTGATTTGGTTAAAGCCCTTTCCGTTGGGAATTCAGTTAGCAACTGGAATATGTTAGCAGCAATATGTGTCTCATGGGATTTAGGGCACCTTGCTTCTACTTAGTGTTCTCTCTCAGTCCATGTAACTTGCTTCCTTGCATACTAAAGCTTTAAGATGCTAAAATTTTATGGTATCGGTGCCTATATTCAGAAAAATTAGTGCTGCTTGTAATGATTGAGTCTGCAACCTTGTGGTTCCAAGCTTTAGGCTATACCATCTCAATAAGCATTGACCCCTAATTGTTTGTGATTCTATATGCTTCACAATTTCTGATTAGAAACTCAATAACAGTTAAATGAAAATAATTTGTGTCCTGTTACTCGATAGCTTTTGTTGACGGTTTAACCATCCTTGTAATAATTGGAATAAGATATACAATGCTTGAGATGGGCCAGATTTCCCAGTCAAATCTGCACTACTAGATGAATAATTTTGGGATGGGTTAATTTAAAATATTGTTACTGTGATATCAATCATCGTTATCCACTCATGTTTGAAGTTCACACCTGCAGCACAAGTGCAAGTTGCTTTCGGGCCAGGTGCCCCATCACCACCTCTTTTGATAAGGAAATATAATGTTCCTGTGCATGAGAACACTGGTAGCAGCTGGTCAGGGACAGAAGATACCAGGGATGATGATGGGAAAATTTTTGTGCCTCCTTCAGCTGCCAGAGTAGATGGGGCTATCAATCCGTTATCCCTGAAAGGGAAGAGACGGTATAAAGAACCTTGGGTAAGGGTTCCATCAGTCCCTCTCTCTTTCGGTCTCTCTTCCATCGCATGGATACTAAGATCTGGTTTTTGTGATGCTATTGCAGGATTACCACCATATCTATTATCCAAGTACTCTTCCTTTGAGGCCGCCTTACTCTGGCGACCCTAGTAAGTTTTTGGATGCATCTAGAAGAGAACAATATATTCTTAGCATGCTTTTGAACCGAATTTCTCTGTTTCCATTTCCCTGAAGTTCTAAATTAATAAACTTCCTTGATGTTGTTGTTTTATGACACATGTCATGTTAGACTGTTCCATTTTCTTTTTGCATAGCTTTAATTGCTAATATCAACATTTTGATATTGCTGGAACATTGTACCAGTGAAAATCTTTTTATTGTTGGGATCTCCTCAAAATTATGGTAAGAAAAGACAACGAGCTTAGTTCTCAAAACCCCAATTGGTTCTATCTCATGCAATTAATTAATGCCATGACTACTCACAAGACCTAGAATTTTCATAAGTGCAGAGATAGCCCAAGAATTTTCTGTTGCCTTTTATCTTTAATGCCTTGTTGTTAGGTGTCATTCTGTAATGCTGAGTACAGTATGCTTGTTTTTTGCTTTTAGAGCTTCTTGACGAGGCTGAGTTTGGGGAGGAAGCAAGGAACTTGGAGTATGATGAGACTACTATTAATCCTGCTTCTGATCTTGGGCTGTTGGTTGGTGTTCGCATTTATATATTCTGCTTTGAAATTTTATCAGTTTTCATTTTTGTTACTAGCATCCTAGTTAAAATTAACTGGTGATTGGTGACAGGAGGAGTGTGACAATGAAAGGTTATTTTTCTTCCAAGTTCCTGAGAAGCTGCCCTTTTTGAAGCGATCAGCAAGTGCAAAGGGAAAAGAGAGAGCTGATATGTCAATGCCATCAGAAAGCAAGAGTGCTGCTAGGAAGACCAGTTTTGAAGAATTGCCAAAGGGATATATGGGCAAAATGCTGGTTTACAGGAGTGGAGCGATCAAGCTTAAGCTTGGCGATGCACTATATGATGTAAGTCATGTTACGCATTCTCTTTGCACATGTACATGCAAGTGCATTCTCGCAAACAGACTTATTTGGCTACTCGTTACATAAAGATAATGAATGGACTTGAGTTATCTTGCATTGTCTCTGTTCACCTGGTTTTTGAGACCTCAAATCAGATAGATTCTATAGGACATTAGGACATCATACTAGATTTGCATCACAAATTTGCAATCCTGAAAAGAGTTTCAAGTCAACTACTCCCAGTGTTCGTCAATATACTGGAAGGAAATCTATTTTCATCGTTTATTGAATTTGCAAGTTTTGAATTTAATGCTCATACTGGTTATAACTTATCAATTAGGTGGCAGTTTTAGGTTCTTATTGTATCAACCAGATTTGGCACAGTTATCCATTTCTTATTGTAGCGGCCAAATTTGGCTCAGTTCCTGCTGGAATCCTGCTTTAAGAATCAGAAATGTTTTTTTTTTTTTTTAATTCGTGAAACTGGTTATTTTTTTCATAAATCAATGTGTGAGTTCTCAATTCTTCATGCATGTCATTTCATGAAGTGAAAAGGCATTGTGCATCCTTTATCCTCAAACTAACAGGGATAGATTTCCATTACCATCTATAATTACGAGTTTTTGCTCTAGACATTCAAAAGAGCGACCACTTTATCAGAGGTCTTCAAGGAAAGCGGAATACAACATTTATCTTTTGTTTTCATTACACTAGATTCGCTGCTCTTAATGGGTACCGCAGAAGATGTTGATGCCTCTGCTCTAAATTAGAAACTGCATCAAACCATGTGTTTTTCTCTTCGTTCTCAGTTTTAACATTAGATTTACTATGAGCAGGTTTCACCAGGCTCAGAGTGTATATTTGCTCAAGATGTTATGGCGATCAACACTGCAGGTAAAGATTGCTGCGCTATTGGAGAGCTTGGGAAACGTGCTGTTGTAACTCCTGATGTTGAATTTAACTTGAACTCTGTGATCAACTTGGACTAGAATGCAAATAATAGACGCATTAGCTGTAGGAAGGGTACATACAGCACGGTAGAGGAATATGGCAGACCTAGCAGCAGTATGTGTATAAGAAGTAAGGAATTAGGGTTAGGGTCTTTCTGACCGGGTAGCAAATGAATCGATCTTGGGCGTTTGCAGGATCTTTCTTTACCTTTATGTCCTTCATGCATTCTTAAGGTCAATAGAAAAAATTATCCCTTTTGCATAGGGATGGAATAATCCATGTTGAATGCATTGTGTGTTCATGTTGCCTCCGGTTCCGCACAGAAATTGCATGTTCTTCTGTATCCAAAGGTAAGTTGCCAGCGGTATCCAAAATAACCTGCACAAAGAACCAAGTGGTCATTTTGAAGTAGGAGAACCCTTGGGTAAATTCACAAGTGTTTGATCACATAAAGTTAAAACTTTGGGAACAAGTAAGTTTGTCCAATAAGGAGGAAAGACGAGGTAACAAGGCACCTCGGGCAAGGTGGCATTCTTCATCCTTTTGTGAAGATTTAGGTTTAGGTTTGGAATTCTTATACGGTAGGTCTGTTGCAATGTATAAACCTTTGAACACCCATTTCCCATCACTGGACACAGACTCTTGCTGGTATGTTATCTAAAAGAATCGTGCAAATGGGTGATTTATAATAGTAAAGCAAATATTCTTTCTTCACTTTTCTTTCTCCTGCTCTTTGCAACAGCAATCTCCAGCTCGCATGGCCTTGGCTTCATGGTTTTTCATGTTAGCCCTACTATGTTCACGTAGTTCCATCTAAGTAGCGTCAGTTTAGCAACTATAGCCTTGACGAAGCTTAGTATCCTTACTCTCCAAGATGCAGATATTTCTCGTATTTCTTCCTTGAAGATACGATCGCCATCCACCTTTTACCCCATGGAAACCAGTCCTCCGCTACAGTAGTGATTTGGCTGCGCTGTTCGTGCTATGATCTCCAAATCATGTCATCCCGCCAGCGGAAATAATTTACAGACATGCATAGACAGGCACCAATAATGAAAACACAAACATCAATTCAACGAAACATGAATCTGGCAACACCAACCCGCTTGACAAGCTATGGTTGCTTAACAAGACCAGCTTTAAGTTTCACAAATCCAAAATATATACACATGACCTGCCAAGAGGATTCAAGTCTACTGGGAGTAACTCTCTTGGCGAACAACTGTATAATTCATTACATAAGGATATACATATACCGCCAAATCCACAAGAATAAATTGAGCTAATGGACTCAAGTTATGCAACCCAATCGGGACCTTCCACAACACCATGGGGAGAACACTACTTGTCATGTCGTCAAATTATGGTCACGCCTTCTGGGCTCGAGTCACAACCACAATCAGCAGAACCATTATGGAAAGCAGGAATGAGATTCTCAGCTTGTCCTCAAATGGATCCTTGGTGCCTCCTGAAGTCTTCTCACCAGTTGGTGGCTTAAAAAACTCGTTCACCAGTTTTGTAATTTTCTCAAATACTTCTATGGCTCTCGCTCTTGTGTTATCAAAAATCCACTTGACAAAATTCAAAGCTGGATTGGATTCTTCACCAGTCTCATTCAAGCTCTCAGAAGTTGGTGGATCAGTGTTTTCATCTGCAGGTATCATGGAAATTACAATATTAAGTGCAAGAGCATTACTTCTAATAATCCTGAATATGACTCTGTAAGAATGTCATAATTGCTCTGTGTGTTGTGCATGGAAAACAAGCATGCATCTGGATGCAGGCCTGCTGTGAGCCTGTGATAGGCATTGATGTGTTTGCAGATCATATATATAATACGAGTGCCTTAACCTCCAAAGACATACTTCAAGTACGAAATGTAAGTTTTAACATACAATGACACAGATCCTAAATTTGTTAGGTCACCACCAACTATTTTTTGAAGATCAAATAATAGAATTGAGTATGAGCATAGTCCGAGTTGAAGTAGAATTTCTAAGAGCTGGTTTTTCATCTATATATAATTTACACTATTTTATGACAGATACAACTTCTCTTAGCTCCTGCTTAGAATTAATCTTGAGTTCCAAAAGAAAAGGAAAACAATGAATAATTCCAAAGCATGAAGTTCTAATGAGAAGTTCTGAAGCCAGATAAAGGTTCATCTTAAACTGCAGGACAATACTTCATAATGTAAGCATATAAAGGTTAACCCAATACATTGAACACAAGACAATCGAAAGTGTTGCTTCAAAGTGTGAAAGACCCCCTGGCATACTTTTGTTATTATCAACTAGGAAAGACATGACTTCAACTCAAAAGTTCTAAGTTACCAAACCCCACACCAACCTGCATAGTAGGTTTCCCGCAGCTCCCGAACGGCAGCATTATTCAAAACAGCATCCCAAACAGCTTTATCAGAAGATAATGACACAACCATTTTCTGCACAGAAAGTTGCATCCTCAAAATATAGATAGTAGATCAAACTATACCAAAAGATTAAATAAAGGTAACATGCTACCGCTTTTTCCACTACTTCTCTTAAAAGGAAAAGGATTTCTTTTAGACTGAATAACCATGTTTCTACTTTGCTCGATACCAGCAAGTGGATCTGCTATGCACCATGCTTGAACAAAGTGCACAAAGTTGACCTTTGCTTATGAAATTAAAATTCATGCAACTAAACTTCTGATATATAATTGTCAACAACATTAGGCACCTGAACAGATGGCTCTGTCTGCAACAAACGGAAAGCTTCATTAACTCTCTGAGATCCACAAGAGAGCAGTGCTCTTGGATCACACAGAACAGGAGAAGGCTCCTTCCAATCTAACTCTGACCCAACTGAAGAAACTCGGTTCAGCAAAGTTGGGCATGAAATTTGATAGGCTAAATCCTTGTCCACAGTGCATGAAAATTTATCTCTAATAAGTTGGGAATGCGAGGGAGCATCAAATAAACTGCAATATAACAAGCCGAGAAACAGCTTACACATTCAGCTTGTAACTATCAAGGAAACACCAATTTTTCACAAATTTAAAGTTGATTTGCCTCTCCCTCTAGAGAGGAGATAACATTTAAGTGATAGAGCACAATAATTTCATCTATATCACAGCAATTAGAAGCTTATGGTGGCAAAAATGAAAGGTTTATTTTAAAGCCAGAAACCCAATTAAGTAAGTGAAATGAAATTAAAAACACATTCCAAAGTTTAGATTGTTTTCAAAGTTGCTGAAGATAAGCATCCAAAGCTCAACCAAGAAAGACAAAGGGTGAAACAGTATCTTGCACAGTCGCAAACAAACTACATTCACATAACATTTAGAAGCAGCGGCACAACATGTAAGAATATCTTTTTCTACTATATTAAAGATTTAATCTTCTAAGGCTCTACTATTCTGTTGCTTCCGAATACAGGCTGCTGCCTTTTGGTGTTGGACTATTACAAGGAAGTTCTGGGTCACGGTTTTGTTAGGCTATTTCTAATTTTCCGTCACGAAACCAGATCAGCATGGCATTTTCTAAGCATCATAAAATACATGATACTTTCTGAACTTTTTTATTACTTTCTTTTTGTTTCTGCATTTTGACACTTATTGTTCCTAATTCTCATTTCTCTTGGAAAAATCAACCTCGTAAACAAAATGCAAACAGGTGTAGCAACCCAATCTTATTTTTTTTAGGGGAGACTTGGGTCAAGTTAAGCAGATGAAACAGGATGAGAATTAAATAATAGAAGCACTGTTTTACTGGTCTTGACACATCACATAGCAGCAGCTTGGTTATAAGTATCAACGTGCAAATAAATTTTGTAAACAGTGCCGTGACAATTCCAATAGCCCAAGTTTTCTTTTGAATCTTCCTTGGGTTTTCAGAAATTTTTCTGACTAGGAAATATAAGGTGTAATCTAGTAGATAGCGTTAATATTTAACCATAAACATCTCTATCACCATCTCCATCATCACCATTATAAGAAGAATGACTGTGATATTACATTTGAGGCAATCATGCTAGATTTCTTACACCTGTTCCAAGGAACACTTGTTGAGATGGGCTGGGGGACTTTGTCAAACCTATCACCATCACCAAACGCCACATCACCAACCAAACAACCAACCATTTAACACCGATAATAAAACTTGATTCTTACGGGTTCGACCCTCAAAATTATCAATTACGAAAAAACAATAGTACCTAAATTGTAATTGCATCCCCCACAAACCGAGTAATTGTTCTATGGACCACGTCAATCACATTTAGTTCAGTCTACAGACTGTGCAAGAATTTTTCCCTCTAGAACTGCTAAGTCATGACTGCAAAAATCCGGGCCAAGCATGGCCCCCTGTGGAGTCTGCCGCGCATGGTTTGGATTATTTCGGCTGCGGTTTACCATCCTTGCTTTTCCCACATAGTAAGAAATGAAACAGTGTGTGTGTGTGTAAGTAGTAATAATCAGAAATTTCTTCTATCGAATTTAGCACACTAAAGCAAAGATAGCAAAAACTACATGAATAAATTACAAAAAACTAAAATCAAGAGCATTGCGCTTATATATGATGAAACCAAACATACAGTGAGCGTGATGAAAGAGAGCAACCACACAATTAAACTAAAAAGAGAAAAGAAACTCACTGGGTAAGGGCTGTGACAGCTCCATTAACTTCGTCAATGGAAGGAACAGGACCCAAAACAAAATCATCATCAAACCCAGCAGGCCTCTCCTCTTCACTCCAGTCATCAACAGAAACCCAGTCGTAATCATCACAGTGGGAGACAGAAAAAGGAGACCAGGAAGTGGGACCGGGTCCACCAGAATTAGCGGGTGCTGGAAGACTGAGAGCGGAGCCAGAAGAAGAAAGAGACAAATTATTAGGGGGGATTAGCTTTCGGGTTCCCCTGGGTGAAGTAACAGTAGTAGTGGTACTAGTGTTAGGAGATGATGAGTTGGTAGTAGAGATGGGTTCCTGGAGATTGGTAACACCAGCCCTAGCAACAGCACGACCAAAGACCCTTAACACGCTGCCTCCTCCGCTTCCACCGCCCATGCCTGTGCCTCCACCGAGCATGAAGGTTTAGTTTAGTCTGAAGTGTGTGTGGTGGAGACAGTGAAGTCGTGTTTGAGATTGGATAGAGTAAGGAGTTTGTATGTGAATGTGTGCAGGTAAAGTTATCTTGGCTGCCTATCCCTTTAGAATTTGAATTTGTGGAGACTTTTTTATGGATGCCATTGTGCTTAGTTGGGCATTCCATCCGGCAATAAACAATGCCCAAGTCTCCTTTTGTTTTCTTTCCCTTCTTTATATATATATATATATATAGAAAGCTTCTGAATTTTATCTCTTTTACTTTATTCTTTCTTTTAAATATTCCTTTCAATCGTTGCTGTTCAAGTCTTTTTCAGCTTCTTTAAAAAAGTAATAATCTAAATTTTATTGAAATAAAATAATTTTCTAGTTTAATTTTTTTTTTAATAGATATATTTAAAAAAAATGTCAGCAAGAACAACTAGTAGCCCCTCTCTCTCGCCACCCTCCACCTCAGCCGACTAGCCTCTCAACTCCAGCAGCACAGTCCACGAACCACCAAGATAGCATCCACCAAATCCAAATCAAATAGCCCGGACCCGACAACCCTTTCTCCTTAGTTTTTTTATCACCGACGACGAGCACAACCGGACCACCCACCACAAATGCAACAACTCGTCACAATCCGGGAATGCCCATGCCGAAAGGAAGACTAGGAATAGGAGCACCGGGCAGAGTGATTTGCACGCCGCCACTGCTTCCCGTTGTTTCAACCTTCTCTGAGCCACCTCATCCACTTCAAAAGATCAATTTCAACCCTGATGCATTGATTTCTCTATTTTGGATCATCTGTATTACGTACGTCTTTGGTTTAGGTGTGTTAATTAACGTGCGTTGCAGTGGTTTCATGTGCCGAATGATTTGTGCTTACGTTATAGATCTTACATTGGATGTTCTGATTTTTATATGCAGGCCCTTTCTTTCTGTGCGGTGATTTTTTTTTTCTTTTTTTGCCATGTGCGTAGTCGTTGATTATGATTGGATGCAGGCGATAATACTTGGAGTAGATCTGTCGTAGCTAATTAGTTATTTATATATGATATTCATTTTATTTGTGTGAATATATTTAATTTTAATAAAAATATATTTTTATTATTATTGATAAGATATTTTATTGATAATTTTAATACTTAGTTAAGAAATTTAGAATAAAAATATTTTATAAAAAAATTATTATAATTATGAGATTTATATTACATCAAAATATTATTTTTAAATATTCTTAGTTAATATTTTATTAGGATTAAATATTAATTAAAATTGTTAAGATTGATATATATTATATTTATTATTTTATAAAATAAAGCAATTACTCACATAAACTGAGGTATACTATATAGAATTAATATGTAAGTGTTTGTCAAGTGTCATGTATATTAAATTAATTTGTTTACATAAAAATTTCATAAGAAAAAATTACGTGTGTTTATAAAAAGTTTCACGTGATAATTGTATAAATGGACTTTAAATTTGAAATCATTATATTATTTTATATATAGAATATCATGCTTTAATCTTACTACATGTTATATTAATCAACGGTAACAAACGAGTAGATACTGAGTATAACAAAAAATATATAAAGGTATTTGAATAGTAAAAAAGGGATTTATTATTCAAAGTAAACTATAAAAAATATTTTATCTCGCCTCAAATATTATAGATTGTAAATCCTTGCACAAAGTTAAATAAAATGTGAAAATAACTTTAAATTTTATTCAAATAATCAATAATTATAGTGTTGAGAATAAATATAATTTAACAAAGCAAACATGTTCTATGCTATAATATTTATATTAGAATATTCTTTATGAAAAGATAATAATTACATTACAAAATTAGTAAATGTCAAATTATTGATAATGTTTTTAACATTTCAAAAATCATGATAAACTACTAAATATTGTTATAACATCTAAATCAAAATATTTTTAATGATAAAATAATAATTATATTAGAAAGTTTATTAATAATATGTTAAGTCAAATCAACAGTAATTTTTTTAATATTTTAAAAGTTATAATAAGTTATTAGATACTGTATTGGATATTAAAATATAAATTATTTAATTAATGAATCAATAATAAATCAATTAATTTTATTTAAAATTATTATTTTTGGAAGTAAAGAAGAAGAGGTAGCCATAGCATCATCTTCATCTCCTTTTATTTATTATCTTGTGCCATTTAAACGAAGTTCCATCTACGCCAAGCAAAATCCAATGGGACCCTCATTTTGTTGTTTTCGCCCTTGATCTTGAGTGCCCTCCTCTTCCATTATTATTATTTTTTTACGATCCTTTTCATGAGTAGATCATCTTGCCACTCAAGCTTCGTGTGATACCATGGATCGGTAGAGTGCTATTCTCAGTAAAATAATAAAGCGGGTTTGTCTAAGGCATTCATGTCCGGCTGAAAGCTGTGGTTTAGTGTTTGAAAACATGGTGCAAGTTATATTTTAAAAAAATTTAATTATTTTTTATTTAAAATAATTTTTTTAATTTTTTAAAATTATTTTAATGTGTGATGTAAAAAATATTTTTTAAAAATTAAAAAATTTAATATATTTTTAAGTATAAAACACTTTAAACCATTGATACCATCACAATCCCAAATAGATCTCATATCTCATTTTATATCTGATAAAGAAGTAATATAGGAATACATTTGAAATAGTATTTGTTTTGAAAATAATTTTTTATATATTTTTTTATTGTTTTGATGAATTGATATTAAAAATATATTTTTAAAAAACTTATTTTAATTAAAAAATTCTTTAAAAAATAACTAATATCAAATTAAATCATTTCATTCACTCAGAGCGATTTATGATTTTTTTTAAAAAAAAAAAAAACTTGATCAATGAAACATTCACCATAAGAGGTTCAAAACTTCTTCTTCTTCTCTGAATTGATTGAAAGCTCAATAATCTTTTTTTGCCTGCTAGAATATCCTCAACAGATCTGGACAGAGGGGGCATAAAAATTAGAGTTTAAACGTGTGTGCTTGTCTTTTGTATAATTAATAACTTTAAATGGCATTTGAAAAATAATCAGTAAAACGACGCAAAGATTTGAATTTGGGCCAGCCTCAATCCCAGCCCTGAATTTTGGTACGTGGCCCAGATCCAATCAATCAGCAGTGTTTTCTTTTTTTTTAATACTCATAGTGGTGAGATACAAAGTGAGAAAGTATATAGTAAGAGCTATAAAATAATTATACCGATGTTTACAAACTATATTAAAATTATTAATGTTCGGAACAATTTTGAACTCTATCAGACTTAACTAACTGGGCTTTAAAACTATTTATTGAACTCTAACATGAAACTTGTGATTCAGACCTTGATTCGCGTTTGCCTTGATGTAGCTTGGTTCGTGGGCCGCACAGCAACACCAATGCTGACTGGGCCCCGGCCCAAATGGCTACACGCGGCATTACAAATATATTTTGGGTTCCCGCCACACGCTTTTTTCAGTTTCGAGTAGTCAGAGTACGCTATACATTAAAATATCTAAAAATATGTATTAATTTAAAACAAAGAATAATTTTTTGAATTTTTTTAAAATATTTTTAAAATATAAAAATAATATAAACACTAATTCTTGTGCATGATGAGCACCGTAGCTTTAACCAATGGTGACAGCGCGGGCAACACAATACTCTTTGTACAAAGTACGCGTCTCTTTCGTGGCCATGACTATAGTGTATCATCAAAATTTACTAACTTATCCATTGATAACAGTGTTAGATGCATCCATATTTTTATTACTCAATTATAACATCTTTTCATAATATTTTTTTTAATCTCTTTACTTATCATTAATATTTTTTATTTATAATGAAAAATACTTTTTATTAAATTATAAAAAATAAAAAATATTTATTCATCTGTTAATTATATTAAATTTTATCCTTAGTGTTTTTATTAGGATATATATTATTTTGATTTTATTTCTCTATTTGATTTTATTTTTTTTACTATTTTTGTTTTTTATTTAACTTTTATTTTTTATTTTATTTATTAAATAATTTTTAATTTGATTTTATTATCTTATTACTATTTATTTTATCTAAAATAATTTATGAAATGATTTTTTAATTATTTTTATTTTTTCTACAGTCTTCAATTTTTTAATGCTTGTTTTATTCAAAATAATTTTTTTTAATTTTTTAATTTTTAATTTTTTTATCTTTAACTTATAAAATTTTAACAAATTTCATAAAAAAATTAAAAAATTAAAAATTCTATTTATGAATATATAACGTTGGGTTTCTGCTTCTTCCGGCTTTTCTATTTCATTTAGCAACCTAGTTTTTGTCGCAAGGAACCCCTTTTATTTTCAATTCCTGGATCGTCAGGCTCCTCACAGATAGGACTTTCTTGATTTTGAAAACCGCCTCATGGATTTGTTTTTTTTCTTTTAATCTATTTTATGAACTGAAATCAATTCTCTTTTTTCATGACCATTTGTGACATGCGTGTTGTTTCTTAGTTGGGAAGGATTCCGCCGAGTCTGCACGAGGGCTGACATTGAATGGTATTGTTGGCTCGTTTAGTTATATTTGCTTATTTTGTGCAGAGCTTTGGACATGCCTTTGCAAGTTTAAGTGACTTATGTTTTTATTGGGCTTCGATTTGTGGAATTGCAAGGTTTAGTATTAAACTATTTGATAGGGTTTCCATTTAATATATATTTTTTTGCATCAAAACATGACTCGATCATTGAAAGTCTCGTTGAATTTGGTTCAATGTCAGACAAATACTCAAATTGTGAAATGGATTATTGAGTTCTGCAATTTATGCATAATCTCCTATATGGGTTTAATTGATCGTAAACCCTTTAATTAGCTAGCATGTGGGCAAGCCTTGGTTCGCAGTTGAACTTCTATCTGATGTATTGCAAAACTGTGCTATATATGCTGCGGTGATGGTGCATCAACTGAGGAAAATGCGGCAAAGTAATTAAAAATAGCTTGTATAACATCCCATCCTGGAATAGTTACTACGATCGCAGCTTGTGTTTTTGTTTTCTGGTGGCAAGGACTAATTTATTCAAATCCACATGCACAGGCAATCTTGATCAATGGTAAAATGCTATGATAGCCTCTTAACATTAATTTTGTTCGGACAGCTGTTCAAACTGTTCTCTTATCATTCTTTGTTGCCAGCAGCATGCTCTAAAAAGTTTTAGATCTCCTAAACATGGTATAACTTGTGAATTGAGACTTTCATTTTAGTTCCTTTAGAAATGGATCATAGGCGGTCCAAGGAACACCTCGGTAGTTGCTTAACTTACAGAAAGTTTGAGAAAGCAGTAGAGTTGTTGAATTTATGAGATGAATATAAGAGTAAAAAATCGTTTATGTATTGATAATTCTCTAGTTTTCATTAGCTTCATCATCCATGATCAATGATCAGAGCTTCACAATACTTTACTGTAGCTAAGCATATATATCTCTCCTCTCCCCGGCCCTGGGACTCTTTTACAGGCTTCTCTTGTTTGCTTTGTGAATTACATAACCTCAGTTACTAGCTTACTAGTCCCTTTATAGTAAACTCGCGTCTTTTATTGCAATTGAATGTACTTCATCTCATCTGCATTATCCTTTTCCAAATAACATAAACAATGATTATCAGTTCACTTTATGTTGCAGGCTGTGCAAGCTTTTAGCTGAACCCTTGTATATCCTCTCCCAAAATTTTCTCTTGCTTAAAATGTGGTTGATTGTTGAAACAGCAGCTACCTTTTTGCATTGTCTGACAATGTACATCATTCTTTCCAAGCAAAGGTAAAAGTTTATTTGGACTATTTAACAATCTTGAATGTTATAAATTGTTGATCTGACTAATGGCATGTGGTAGATACACACTTGAATTCTTTTACAGCTTGAAATAAAGCATCATCATCTGTTTTTGAGATAATTCAAGGATGTTAAGTGATGCTACATGCATCAACAACATCCCAATTTGAAAGTTTGATGAGCGTACATGTTGTACTAATTGCATCATATAGATTCTACTTTTCAATGTGTTTGTATTAGGTAATTTGATATGCAGATTTGGGGAGAATGTATTCCTCTATGTGGTGGATATTGTGCGCTAATTAGTAAGCTTCACTGTCTCTTTCCACCTTTTTTTAACAGAACTTGACTGTTTCTCCTCATCTTCAAGATCTTGGAATTTTTGTCACTTCTGTTCTTGTGGAAGTCTTGGGCTACTTTTTATGCAAGGCACAAAATGTTACTTCAACTTATGTTCACTTTTTTCTTTTTTTGGCATATGAAATGCATTCCTTGAAAATCAGCTGCAAATGGCAACTTGCAGACTATTTGATTAAAAACAAGGTTGGATAAATGTATCTATACCTGTTTCCGTATCTATTTTTCTAAGTAATCTCTTTGATCTGAATTCCTAGTTGTGAGACTTGTGTACGTGAAACTTATTTCTTGCTATATAGCCTTGTTCACTGACAACTTTAACATAAAACTTATAATTCTCGCAGGACAAAGGAATTGTTTTTGCATTGTCACAAACTGCATATGAAGCTTGCTTGTTCTTAGGATATTGGAGTTATTTTGTTCTTTTCCATGCATTTAGAAGTTCTGATCTTTTCCCTTTCAGGAATGATTTTTTTTTTTTGTGTGTGAGCGAAGTTTCTATGCTTTTTATATTCATCCCTGTCCCTTCAAAAGAAAACAAAGGAAGGAAAAATTGCTTAAACTGGTAGTGTGATGGAAACCTGTTTTTTTTGTTAATGTTTGCAAACTGTAGAGCTCGATAGTGTCTTCAATTTGATCATATTAATTCGTTATCAATTTATGGCAATGTTCTTTAGCAACTGTGTGCTATTCACAACTATTTTGTTAGTATATTAGTTAACACCATGTCTTCTCACACACTAGGAACTATAATGGATCGTGATAAGCAGCTGCTAGCATGTGTTTTCTGTTCACTCATCTATCCTCTCACAAGCTAATTCTTCAAAAAGAGGAAAAGATTGTTCTTGTATGGTTGGATACCCCATACAACCAGGCTGTATATGGACTTGTTCACAAGTTAGGTATGTGGCTGGTTCAGATATTATGTGCCTTTTTGAGTTATAACAGCAATTTTTTTTTTTAATCAAATTGAGTGTTTAAATAAACCAAAATAGTATATTTGAATCTTTTGCTAATTTAGAGAGTTTGATTAATATAGCATGTTTATAATTTGGAGCTTGTTATAAATGTTAATTTTTCATTTCCAGGGAGCTTAGTTGTGAGATTGGTGTTTCTTCCATTCAAGGAAAGTTCACATGCTACATTTTCCAGGTTTATTTCTCTCCTCATTTGTTCTCTTAACATTGTTCTGATTTCAACAGATTTGATTATGTTGTTTAGATGGTTCTGGTCTCTTCATGTGTTGTTTTGCATTTTCTTGCTTTGTGGTTTCATCATTTTCGACAAATTTGCTTATGTTGTCTTGATGGTGCTGGTCTCTTCATGTTTTATTTTGCATTTTATTGCTTTGTGGTTTCATCATTTTTGTTATGTATTTGAATCTAGCCTATGCTTTTAGCTAGAACTGTATCGTTTTTAGTTAAGAAACATAGTTACAAACTTTGTTGAGGGCAGCAAGACAGGACATGCAAAAAGAAATTTTCCCATCTTCTGTATTATTGTGCCATTACACTTGCCTGCTAATGCCACTACTACTACTAGCTTATCTTGTGTGACGAGGCATTTTCCCTGGAATAGTGTGTGTGATTAACTCCTTTGCTTGCCAGAATGGTTAAGAATCCCCTTTCTTTTCTTTTGAGCTGAAAGATTTACATTTGGAAAGCATGCAGTAAATGCATTTCAACATCAATTTGAAGTCACAATATTTCTGTTTACCTTCATAAGTAGCTGAATGCTTCTCCTCTCATGACAGGGCAAGATCCAACAAAAGTGGGAAATTGATGACATATTCTTTATTAAATTGAAATTCTCTGGTCACTGGTTTCTTGACTATTCTGAGGATATGATTTCGAGGGTTATATTCTCTGCATTATTCATCAAACACTATTTCCAGGTATGGATTTGATGCTGTAAGTCTTCCATATTTGTGGGTATTTACATCAGCCTTGTACTGGATTTGTGTTTTTCTCTGTGCGGGATTCTTCTGCATTTTCTTTTACCAGCTGCTTACCTTCAGGTTGGACAGTTCTTTTGTTTTCTGGTGTAATTACTCTCATATCCGAGAAATTATTTCTGGACCACAAAAATTTCTGGCCAGCATTTAAAATCCACTTCTCTATCGGCTTAAGTTGCTTCTGCATAGCATCTTTCATCATGTGAGTGTCCCCTCGTCCTTTTATTTCTTCAATTTATGCTATAACCATGTGAACTGATTGAGGTGCGAATATAATTGATCATTTAATTTTTTCATATGCTCTTTGAATTTTGCTTTAAGTTTCCTGTAATTTTGTCAATTATCATTAACAGTTACCGCTGTGAGAGGCCTTTTATCAACCAATTATCCCTAACAAACAAGGGCCTTTGAATGCAGCACAAAAAACACAAGGGCAAGGGAATTAAGTTAAATCTTGATTTGAATTGCTCTGTTGAAGTCCATTTCATGTTACAATGGGATTATTAGTAGCAAGGTAACTAAAAAGCAAAGTTATAATGTTGTGATAGCCATTTGTTACTCACAAGCTGGCTGTATTACTAGCAACCCTCCATTCCTCAGTTAAAAAATGTCATTTCTCCTCTAATTTTGAAAACATTGTTTTCAATACCATTAAAATTGACTAATAAGAAAGTAGAAAAGCTAGAAACCATTTGAGAATTCTCTAAAGTACAATTTTTGAAAGGTTGCAATTTGCATTGGATTGGATTTGATCTCAGGACCCCTGTTCTGGCTTTCGCTGCATATGCTTGAATTTTCTTTCCCTCTTGCTCCCTTCATGTCAAAGTCATGTAGGTCTCAAGTGAGCATAATGTAGTGTCTCCAACATGTCACTGTGAATGCCACTACGTTCTTAAAGTTATTCTTGACATGCCTTTATAATGCTTGGCAGGCGTTATAGCTGCATTTGTTGAATCTAAGCCAGAGCCAAACGAGTGAAAAGGTTCCTTCTCTTGCCAGAATTACTCGATACCCAACAAAGAACTACGGATCACTTGCCCCTCAATGTGGCCTAGAACTTCACGCTTCAATAACAGCGTTGCTAGTAATGTCGTTTATTTTCAAAACAATAATACACTGCATTGTTTTAGCTTACGAACTACATTGCAATTTTATTTTGCAATTTTTGTGCGCTAAGAAAGCTTTTCCTTTGTGTCAAAAAGCATGAAATTTGGTAATATCATATTTTAGTAGAAAAAGGTGGCAAACGTTTAAACAGCCATAATAACCCGTTATAATGCTTGTAGTCAATGATCCCTTCGCTATATACAAAAGCAACTTTGCTCATCATAAATGCCCCATCCTGCTAGGCGCAACGATTTGAACGTAACAAGAAATGTGACGCTTCACAATCTCTAGCAAAAAAAATTCCTTGACAGGTGAGAAAATGGGCAAGTGAACAAAATAATTTCATTAAAAGCAAGAAATAAAGTGATAGAAGGAGGCCACTAGCAGAATGATGATTCATAGGACATCCACGGGTGTGTTGGGTTGTCTTCTTCCAGTGTCACTCCAGGAGCAGTGCTTTGTAATTATAAGCTTTGAAAGCTTGAGAAAGAAAAGGTAGACAGAGAGGGAAAAATGAAACTCATGATGATTAAGACGAAGACTATGGTTAAGAGTTTGGACAAACATCCAACAAACCCATGAACATAAAGTTGCTTCTATCTTCTAAAACAAAATGATGGCAGTTTGAGTCTTGCTTGGCAGGTTAGATTCCTAGTGAGCTACATTACAAAGTCCTTTGCTTCAGAAAGCAGGAGTGAAGTGAGGGGATGTCACTTGCACATGTTGAGTGGAAATATGAGAGTTATACGTTGACTGGAAATATGAGAGTTATACTGCCATTTTTTAATATCGAAAAAACAAGGAGAATTGAGGAAAAGAAAAGAGGAGGAAACCACCAATAATTTTTGGCAAAAAACTAAAATTATTCCAAGCTTGTGATTTTCAAAGAAATAAAGCAACCGAAGTCGCAAGGCTTAGGAACACCGAAGTCTCCAGTTGATCATAGAAAGAACCCTTCCTCTGGGAACTTCTCTCTTTTGTGTTTTGCCATGGATATTAATGAGGCTTTTAACTTTCATGGGACATGCTTGTTCAAAAGCAGGGCTTCTCCAGAAACATGCATGTTGCCTTTCACGAACCCCAGAGCTCTAATTAAAGCACAAAGGAACAAAAAATTTGCATGGTTTTGTTAAGATTGTATGTTCTGTTCCCTTGCCATTCGAACCAGCAATTTACATTTATGTAGCAGCAATCCTATCCTAGCTCGACAATTTACTTAGGCAGACAACATGCTGATTTTAATATTGGTTTCAGGTTTCAACACGTCGCTGGATTAAGAAAAAAAATTATATGATAGTAAAAAATCATTTTGAGTTCTTATTAGGGAAAAAAATATGAACCGTCTTGAGTCCCTCACACTCGTTAATCTGTTGCCTATGGAGAATGGCATGTTTAACTATCTGTATCCTTGCTCAAAGTTCCCAAGAAAACCCTCCTTCCCATTAATTTAAATCCTCCACGCCTCCCCTTTTTCGCCTTATATATCTAATTACTTTAGAAGGTCTAAATCATTTGGTTGTCTATTCTAATTTCCTCGCACAATACTCTCAAAATAAGCGGCGGTGCCCTCTCAAATCTTCATGTCAAAGCATCTTTATTTTTCTTTTAAAACAAAAACCAAATGATAGAACATGACATGTAATGATGACTGGGGACCCTTCTTTTTTATTTTTATGTCAATTATCTTGTTAAGTATCTTGCCAAATCCTCTTGATTAGGCCACGGAGATCAATATCAGCAATGAAAGGTCTCAAATGTGTGGTCATTGCAATAGTTTCTTGATCACATGGATCTCCTCTTAATTTTCACCCTTTTACCTTTCTACTTCACCCCAAAAGCTTCACTATTTTTTTGAAGATTTCATCATAAACAACAAAACCGTATCGCCTGTTCATTATGCCCCAAGTAACTTTCGTTTTTGTTGATAATGCACATTGTTATTAGAGGGGAAAAAAAAGATTAATTAGGTGAAACAATTTTTATAACTATTAAACAACTGCACCAAGAAATTTGAAGAGGATGTCTGAGTTTCGTCTCCAACAGTACTAAACAGCTTATGGAAGATCATGAATTAAAGTGACCAGAGTGATGTGATCAGACAATGCTTCTCGTTTGAAGAATATATATCGGAGTGTTGTTAGGAGTGGATAATACCGGGTTGAGCTGTTGAAGTCTACGATTGGCGCTTTTAAACTAGAAGAGGTCACTTACATGCATGCCCCCAATATCTCACGCATCCTTCAAACCCTAATGATTTTGTTCTCCACTCAGACATTACAAAAGTTAGAATATGAACAGAAAAAGAGGATTGTGGTCATGAGAGAAGACTGTTCATGACTCATGAGAAAGATGGCGGGGTGTGACTGTGAAGTCAAACGCTAAACACGGTATGTTTTTTTTGTTTTTTGAAAAATCCCCCATGGACCCAGTTTTCATATCCACCCTTTTGTCTTGCCAATCTTATTCCTGAGTGTGTTCAATTCTTTCATCATTCTCCTGTGGAACCCTCCATCTCCTTTTCTTTACCTTTCTATTACATCATCTTGGATCTCTATGATTCCATATATTGCACCACTTATTTTGATTTTCTTTTAAAATCTGTCATGTTTATATATTTGTTCTAATTTCCTATATATTTAGACACGCACCAGCAGCTCAGTTCAAGGGTTTGATTAATTAATAGGTCAATCCACAGCTTTGCAAGTACTTGAAGAAGTGCTTGCATGCCGGATGCCAGATTAACGAGAGCAAAATTATTCTCTGCCGGGATTAATGCATAAAAGCTCATTGGTTGACTTTTATCTACTAAGAAGTGGTTTGATCTGATGCTGTTAATCCCAAAAAAAAACGTAGGAATAGTTTTTTTTTTTTGTTAAAAAATAATATAAATTATATTTTTGTTAAATTCAATCTTAGCAGAAGCATGTGCACGCTGAAATACTCTGCAGGAACCAGATAAATTCGAGCATTTTCGAGCGTCCCTTGTCCTGCATTATTATTATTATATAAAAAAAGTACATTGTAATTTCTGATGTCGAACAGTGAATTGGATGGAGTAGAAACTAGAGGCCGTGTGTGTGTGTGTGTGTGTGTAGCTCCTCCACATGGCATTGAATTACTTGCCAGGTCCCAGCAAGCAGGCAGCTAGTGAGGATTATTCATAAATGCCTTGCATTTGGAAGATTGTTCCTTGTTATTTTTTTAATGGGGACATGGTACTGTAGTACCTTACTAGTTGTGGATCCCCACTGCTCCTCGGATTCAAACTATTTATTTTTTTATGTAAATATTCAGGTACGGAAAATACATTTTAAGAAAGGAATAACAATTCATGACTTAAGTTACACTAACAACCGTATTAAATTTGTTTTTATTTTAATTAATTAAATAAATAATATTTGTAGCAGTAGATATAGGGAAAAAATTATAAAAAGTGATCATTATAATATGAAAAAAAAAATTAAATGAGAAAAACAATGTATTTTAATTTTTCAACTCAACAAATACATAAAAAAAACTTAAAAAATTAATCTTGATCTACCCAGGTTATCATGATAAATTTGTAACCATAATAATCAAGGTTGAGTCAACTCGGGTTATTCCACCACATATGCGACTCACGTCACGAGATCAAGATAATTAAAAAAAAATCATAAAAATCATGAAATCTATTTTTTATATAAAAAATCAATGTCAACCAGCATTGATTTTTCAAATATGTAACCCAGATTATTAGACTCGAAGCATCATATTTTAAAAAATCATTAAATTCAATTTTCAATTAATCAAATGTTCAAAGATGAAGTAGAAAAAATAAATTTAATTATACAAAAAGGATTAAAAAAACAAGCAATTAAAAAAATCAAAATTAAAATCGAAACATGAAATAAATTTTATTTTTAATTGAAGGGTAAAACTAAAAAAAATATTAATTTTAAAAAATAATTTAACAAAAGGATCTCAAAAAATCAAAATCAAAATTGATATAAAAATATATATTTTTATTAAAGGGTAAAATTAAAAAAAATTAATAGAAGAACCTAAGAAATATCAATAAAAAAATAAGAATCAATTATAAAAAATAATATGTTTCAAATTGAGATTGAATAATAAAACTAAAAACAAATCTAAGATTTTACAAAAGGCTCAAAAAATTTAAAAAATAAAAACTAACATGGAAATACTTATAAATCAAATGATAACTTTAAAATTTTACATGGCCGGTGCAAGAATCAAGAGGAGAAGAAGAGAATGAGAGCAAAGCTAGCAACAAACCGTGCCATCATCAACTACCTTAATCATCCTCTAAAAAAAACAATACAATGCTTACAACGACATGGAAGGAATGAGAATTTGACCAGTAGAAGACATTGTAAAGGGCATTAGCACCTCCTAAAAAGTGCCAAACATGATAATAATAGGAAAAAAATATTATGAAAATAAAAAAAGATATTATTATATTATTTAAGTGAACAGTATAAATGGATATGTGTCTGTAATGTTTTTAATAATTAGCTTTCGTTAGTTTTATGATCTTTCCATGGAGCATAATTTATTAAGAAAACTATCTATCTACAAGGACGTAATTGTTGTCCCATAAAGTAAAAGTTTGTTTGTTTTTGTTGTGTGTAAGCGATTTTGACAAATAATAATTTTTTTTATTATTATTTTTAAATAAAATTAAAATAAAATTAAAAAAAAAACAATTATTATTACACTTACAAATATTCTCGGGTAAAAAGCCCCAGCTCAGGCACTCACACTTGTGGGTCACTGGCTGCTTTGAGATTGACTGTTTTCAACGTTAGTGATGTCAACATAACCCTGGTGAAACTGAGCCACCCTTGAGACTTCTTCATCCCAACTAACTAGTCAGACTTGTCTTCTAACAAGCTTGACTTCTTTCCAAATCTATTGGTTCTCATTTGTACATGTAGGGACGAACCAAACTCAACGATTAATCAAGGCCATTTGCTGACTCGATGACTCAGTAATTTGATCCCTTCTCGATTTGATAACTATAGTTTCGACGCAAACTTTTTACTAGGTGGATTCCGTTTCATCCAGCAACAAATAAAAAAAAATTCCGTTCAA